AATTAAATGCAGATTTGAATATGAAGGAAAAACATTGGCAGAAAAGGGATACTGTGTAAAGCAATCGTTTTTTTTTTAGCTGCTTAACGGTAAATAGATGGTTCTATAAATAAAGAAAATTATATGTTGATAGTTTATTCATCTCTGAAAATGACAGTCGAACATTTAAAAAAAATCATGTCAAAAATAGTGTACTTTCTATGTAATCTTTATTCCATAAAACCAAGGAAATTATGAATTGAATAATACTAGAGAAAAGAATTGTATTGAAAATAATTACAATTGTATGTGGGTTATTTTAAAACTGAAACCCGCAGATAGTTCACCACTGATTAGCCGGAATAAGATTTGTCAATATCTATACAGAGCTGGTCTGGAAGTAATCACCGTGAGTGATAAGGCCATCAATTGTCACGCCTATATAAAGATATCATAAATATGTTTGTATGAATTTATGATGAATGTATGTTTGTATGAATGTATGTTGTCCAGATGTTTACCGACAACTGTTTATTCGTTTCCACTAAAACAAGTAGACGCATGAGATAAAGACTTAACAATTAACAATAGCAATAATCTCGTCCGTTTCTTGCATTAATTAACTCCTGTCGAAACAGAGATAGCACCAAATACGTGGATTTCACGCTTCACACTAATCTCCAGTCCATTTATGGTGGTACTAGACATTTCTTGGCTTAGAAATTTCACAGAGAAGACAGTACACAAACTTTAATACATTTAATAAAAATTAGAGCAGCCTAGCTGTCGAATTTGGATCGGTTTGCATTTGTTGTTTTTAATTTTATTACTAGTGTCACTTTTACTGTCATTATATATAACTAGACTTTTATACTATGTCAGTTAATATATATTTATATATATGAAACGTCTAATGCGCAGGATCAGACTTTTTTTTTTTTTCCGTGCGGAAATCCCCTCGGATACCAGGATGTTGGCGTGGTAACGCGCCGCCACCGCATTCGTCACCACGCTGCTGTTTGATGTTGATTCACAAGTAGAGCTAAATTTACACGTTTTGCACCTTCTGTTCTATAATATTACACTTTATTTTTTCTTAACTTCACTCACTCAGTGAAAAGCAGGGAAACACTTGGTTGATACCGATAAAAATATCGGTCGAGCTAGCCCGTTCGTGTCAAAGCACGGCTCTCCCACGATTGGTATTGGTCTCCCACGATAAGTATGGCTCTCCCACGATTACATTTAAAACAACGTTTCGGAGAGTGATATGACATTTTCTTGCCATGAGTAATATTCATAAAACCTTATAATTATAGCAACACTTTGCCATTTGATTTATATAGACTACTAGCTGAGACCCGCGGTTTTACCCGCGTTTGTTGTTATAACCGCGGGCAACGCCGCGGGGCGAAGCTAGTCTAAAAAAAGTAGCCTAATTTACTCCTTATGTCATCACTTATCTGCCAGTGAAATTCCCGTCGAAATCGGTCCAGCCGTTCCAGAGATTGCCAGGAACAAACAGACAGACAGACAGACAGACAAAAATTGTAAAAACTGTTATTTTGGCATATGTACCGTGTAAACACATATGCATTTAGTAAAAAGCGGGTATTTTAATATTACAAACAGACACTCCAATTTTATTTATTTGTATAGATATCTATTCTGCTCTAACAGTTCTTGGTCTATGTTAGCACCAAGTAAGGACAATATGGCACGTGTGCTATCACTCCTGTCCATCGTCTATAGTATTGTGCGCCCTCTATAAGAGAAACTGAGGCGATCGTAATTTTGTGTTTTCATTACATTGATGGTTAAAACACAGAAGTAAAAAATCCCAACACCACAGGCTAACTACCTTACAGAAAACCGGTGTTAAACGCAACGGAAACGTATTAACGGAGCCCAAACCCTCCCCGTCCCCCTGATTCTGGGAAAAGGGACTGAAAGGGTGGCAATGGACCTGTGACAGTTGAAGTGCCGGTGTCCACGGGTGGCGGTCGTCGCTTAATATTAGGTGAACCGACTGCTGTACCATAAAAAACGGGCATAGCATTTTCTGTTTGAATTTCTTTCTTTTTCTCACTTTTACAAAATAATAGGTAAAAAATAAGAAGGCCAAAAATACATACTACTGTGAATATGATGTTGTGAAATTATTGTTCCGAGTCTGGGTGTTCTTTGTGCCCATTTCATTTATTAAACTGAAATAGACGTTCTCAGTCTCTTCAACAACGAAAAACATCAAATTCTTTCTCCTTATAATGTTTTCAAATATCTGATTTTTTTATTGGTCATTTGTCATTTTTTCCAGTTGTTGTTGTCTGGAATCTAGCATAAGGACATAAGGATCTCTATATTCTTATTTATGCTCTTTGAATTTTTTTTTATTTCTTTCAATTCATTTGTCTGCTCATCTAACTTATTTTGAAGTGATTTTAATAATTCTATAATCTGTTCCATTTCGTACTGCTTGTGCCCTCTATCGTAGTTTTATCAAACTTAATAAACGTAAAACGATTTTGTAGTAAACTACTTTGTTATCGAATGGTAGTGTAGATCAACGGGAAACGAAAAACGAAATTTGGAAATATGATAAGGCATAAACAAATATCCAGAACTACTTCTAGATCTTTATCCCCTAAACGGACAAAACCATATGCAAGCTATTCAATTGGCAAAGCAATTTCGTTCAAAAGCAAATTGAAATTTTAAGAATCTATTAAGCAGCATTGTATCTTTACCGAGTGAAGTATTCAAGTCTCCTTTTAGCCGCTACAAATTGCGTACGTCGGTAACAAACGCAGTAATTGTACTACAAAATAATGCAGCAGTGTTATCGCACCCGTCGCTTATACAGCGGCGTCAGACACCCTATAATTAGATTGTACCCATTGTCCAAACTGTTTTGGACCAGTTGATATACTGTTGAGGAATTTAATTGTCTACTCCAATATTGGATACCTATTTATCCAAAGATACAATCTGACTAGTGTGAAAATACTTACATACCTACTTTTTTTGGCAAGTGTTTTTTTTTCAAAAAATATTGCCTAAAACTTTGGTCTCACTTTATAGAATATCAGCACTTCACATTTTACTCTAGTGGACTTAAGGAATTGATCATATTTAATAAATTCTTTACTTAAAAGTATTTTGCTATCATTCACTGATATTTAAGCTAAATTAACAAACGGCCCCATGATATTTTTTAAAAATTTATTGTAGAATAAAAAATCAAGCAGAAACATTACACTGTCGATAAAAGTTATAATTCAGTACATCCGATACATGTAAAATACGTTTTTATTTTAGCACAAATTCAGAATTTCATAATGAAACCCAAAAATGTAAAAAAATATCCGCCTAGAATAAACGAAATTTACAGGTGTATATTCTTTACAGATGTTTTTTCTCTCTCGGATATCGACTGAAAGGATCTCGTATATACATACATTACTCAGTAGTACTTGATAATAATAAAGTATTTGAACGTCATAAAATAGGGCGTGGGAGCTATGGCTCCCATCTTGTACCACTGAGGGCTTACTGTGAGATTGTTTCACATCAACTCGATCGTCACGGTGACTGCGATTGGTGAAGATTTCAGTGCGGGCCAATCACAGTGCCGATCGCAGTCACCGCGGTCATCTCCCCCCATTTAGGTCCCCCCAGATCGACGCCGCACCTAAATAGGCCCCATCTCAGGGGAAGATAGTGGCTTCTCCCTGCCTGTCTGCTACCTAATCTGCTAATCTGCTAATCTGCTACTCTCTGGCAGCCCACGGTCCTGTCGGCGGATCATACCGCCGCTGACGTCTTCTTCGTTCGGGATCGGCTATCTCCCGTTCCCGAACGTTCCGCGGTCTCTTTCTGGAGCATTACAGCTTTGCAGAAAGAGACCTCTGCGCCCCAGCCCTCCTCACTCGCCAGCATGGCAGCAATGATTGATTGTTTAAGGCCTAAGGCATTCACTATCTCACAAGGGAACTCTTTATAATTTTTTGATAAAACAATACTTTTTATTTCCAAAAAAAATGGAAAATCCGAGGGCTTTAAATCTGGGCTTTATGGCGACCAAGCCATGAATCTAAATTAGCTAACATTACATTTTTGTGCTGTCATTGTCGTATTTCGATAACTTCTCGATCTGACTGTACGACCGGTTAACGATTCAAAACGGAAAGGCCCATATATGTCACAAAGGAACCCCCTCTCTACAGTGGGTGCTCGTTAATAGCAAAAATCCGTCTTAGATTACCTCATCATCATCAACAGCCTTTACTAGTCCACTGCTGGACATAGGCCTCTCCATAGAAAGGAGGTATTGGCCTACTACACCACGCTGGCCAGACGGGTGGTTATAGGGTTTGTGTCAAGTTTTCCTTCTCTCTGTAGTGCTGTAGTCCTGCGTAGTTTGCTCCCTTAGTCGCCTTTTACGACACCCACGGGATGAATAGGGGTGGTGACACTCTGTCAGCCTATCCAGTTGTTGCGGCCTGATCACATTTTCATCCTATTCCCTACCGCAGCAACTAATCTGTTACCAGAGGTCCCCACACTTTCGCGGCCCGCGGTCCTGTTAGATTACCTAGTCTTTACCAAAGCTTTGTTAAAATACTCTGCATTGGCATAATCTTCAGAAAAGTTTTCATCTATGCAGATAAACAATACAACTAACTACCGCACTGACCGTTCATTAGTTAATTTTAAGTGTTGCGATATTTTGCAATGTTAATGTATAAAAAATTGGATAACATGGATTGTAGTCAACTTTGGACGTAAGACGAATAGTCCTAGATTTCATCAAGACAAACTCTTAACGTTGCTTTCAAAGTCTTTTGATCATTTTTGCGAGTAAATAAAATATACTCCTTGCATCAGCTATTAAGGCGGCTAGTCCAATTAAAAATCACAAAATCTTAACCCCAATTACTACGTTTTTATTGTATCACAAATTTGATAAAATTTCATTAATTGGCTTTAGGTAATATTTCTCAGTTCGACACTTTGGCGTAATGAAAAAAGTCGTGTTGGTTGGTGTGTTGGCTTATTTGGCCAATCATGTCGGCGAATTGGAAGCATATTTTGTCGGCGCTGGTTGTAAGTTCAATTTTTTATAGATAGATGGCAAGCGTGTTACCTCAAGGTAAGGGATTACCACCGCTCATGGTCACCTTCAACTTAAGAGCCACATATGCGTGCCGGCCTCTAAATTCCCCCAGAATCAGAGTAGGGCGTCGGTTTCAAGCATCAAGCCGTCACTTTGATACTTAAATTAGAAACCGACTAGGTTGCAGTATGGCACTTTCTTTATTCCTTTGAATATTCCCCATTCTCCTTCCTCTTCTTATAGCCTCAGCCTCATCATCATCTTAATAGTCCACTGCTGGATATAGGCATCTCCTTAGAAAGGAGGTTTCGGTCTACTATACCACGCTAGCCAGACGGGTTGATATTGTTTCAAGTTTTGCTTCTCTTTGCAGTGCTGTTGTCCTGCGTAGTTTGCTCCCTAAATCGGCTCTTACGTCACCCGCGGGATAAACCGGGGTCGGCGACACTCCGTATTCTTAATCCGTCACCACACCAGTATGGCCTTCTTTCTTATAACCAGCTCCTCTCAAATTGCTGTAGCCAAAAGAGAATTAATGTTATGCTACCTGCAGTAAATGTCCGCTTCGGTCAACTCCTGTACACTGACAGCAAATATCAAGTTCTTCGAGAGGAGATGATAAAGGCTAACACTCGGAACTTAGTATACCACTGCAGGGCGGACAAAAGCGACTGTGACGCTGCACTGGCCAAAATGAGATATAAAGCTAGCAAACACTTCTATGCACTGTCGAAGGCTGTAGTAGACTATGTGAAAAATAAGAGACAGGCGAGACCCACTGGATATGTAGGTGAGAATACCGTAGCACATTTATAAATATTAGTTATTATAATGTATATCTAAGTGGATTTAAAGGGTTTAATTAGGTAAAATAGATGATAGCACCGAGTGTCAGGATGTTCTTAAAATATAGGTATGACATAGATTACGAAGGCCGTACAAATAATGGGAAGATGACATGAAGGCAGTAGCGAATTTTATGTGGGCTGGAATAAGTGGGGACAACTATCGAAGAAGAAGAGGCATATAACAAACAAGGACAAACAGTTGCTAACCAATCGCTATATTAAAAAATAAGATTTATTAGCTATATTTGGAGGTATTAATGAAATGTTTTATTTGTTTCAGCAAGATTTTAATTTAGGTGTTACACATTCCGGGGCAGCGCGTGCGTTGGCGCGGCTGCTGCCCAACATGAAGGGACCCGATGACTCCTACAGGAGACTCTACTCGGGGGATGTGCGGTCCATGGCCCTTTACGGGTGCCCAGTATGGGCGGGGTCCCTGAAGGCCAGCAACGTCGCGATACTGCGACGACCGCAGCGAGTGCTGGCCATCAGGATCATAAGGGGGTACCGCACGATCTCCTTTGAGGCGGCGAGTCTCCTGGCCGGAACTCCACCGTGGGACCAGGAGGCGAGAGCCCTTGCGGCTCTGTATCAGTGGCGCAAGGAGGCGCGGGACTTGGGTCATTGTTCCGAGATTCGAGAAATCGATGACCGGAAATCCCAACTCCGCCAGGTCATCATAGGGGAGTGGAGGGAACGACTCGGGCAACCGAGCGCCGGGCATGCCGTCATCGCGGCGGTAAGACCCGATATGGAGGATTGGCTCGAGAGGCGTCACGGGACTCTCTCATACCGACTGACGCAGGTGATCACAGAGAAAGGATGTTTCGGGGATCACCTGTGTCTGATCCGCAAGGAGCCAACGCCTGAGTGCCACCACTGCGATGGCCAGACCGTGGACACGGCTCTTCACACGCTAGCAGAGTGCCAGGCGTGGGTTAAGCAGAGGCGAGACCTCGTGGCGGCCATCGGAGTGGAAGTTCTCTCGCTCGATAGCCTGATTGCCGCTATCGTGCGGAGCGAGAGTGCGTGGAACTCTGCCGTCTACTTCTGCGAGCAAGTTATGCTCGCGAAGGAGACGGCGGAGCGGGACCGGGAGAGGTTTAGAACTCTCCCGGCCCGCCAGGCCCGGGAACGGGCTAGGTACCGCAGGCTACTCAGGCGCCGGAGGTCGCAGAACGACCTCCGACCTCCATAAGCGCAGGCCTGGGGGTGACAGGTGAGGCCATCTGTCACCCTAGCAGAAGCAGGCCGGGGTGGCGGCGAGCGCGTTGCGAAGCGCGCTCGCTTCCAGGGAGCAGAGGGAATATAGGGTTCCCACACGGGGGGGGTCGTCTACTCGTCTGTAGATGGCCCGAGGTATGTCGGGGCGCCAGGGACTTCCTTTCTAGGGTATACCTGGTTCCCCGGCTATTAGTACCCGAGACGGCGTGCGGTTTTAGTCGGTTCGAGTCCGACATGCCACCGATAGGTGGTATCCGAGGGGATTTCCGCACGGAAAAAAAAAAAAAAGGTGTTACACATTCCCGTAGGCTGACCCTTTTAGACCGATATCTGTTCTAGATAGACCCGAAGGATAGATTACCAGTCTTTCCAGACTACAGGAAGCCACATAAAAGTTCTCAGTTATGAGATACCTACTAAAGTCGAAAACTCAAATAGCAAATCTTTAAATATACTCTTTAATATACGTTGTCAATTAGTAATTCCCTAAAAACATTAAAGTACCATACTGAGCACCAATCGCTATAAGCAGCACTGGCGAGAACTACGGGGCCGTAGGAATTACTACATCGTGACTTAACACTCACTTTGGTTTGAAACCTATAAAACCATATTTTTCCTCTGCCCAGGTACTGCTACGTTCTGCCAGGACAACATATGCGTACCAGACACAGATCCGCCCATCGTTTTTGGCGGCTGTTTCACTCTCATCTCATGCGGCGGCAACCAGACCTGGCACCTGGACCCTATTGTATACAAAAACAAAAAGAAAGGAAGATTCTATTAGCTTATACAATAAATATAGTAACATCGGTCAAGCGTTTTTATCAATGATTTCACTTAAATAAACGGATATGCAATCAAAGATTGAATATTCCTCCTTATGATAAGAATCGAGAGGAGAAGATATTTTTTTAAACAAAAATACAAGGTGTCTCAAAAGAAAGTTTATATTTAGTAGATCGATTTAAAAAAAAGTAAGCAGTGTATCGAAAAAATGTTTATTAATTATTAAAGTACACAATTTGGGCATTTATTTCTTAAAAATAATATCCTCCAAATGTAGACCCTCGCGTTCGCAGCACTCATTTAATCGAACAGTAAAATTACTTATGACGGCTCGGCAGGTGAACTCAGTGATGGCTGCCATTTCGTGACGGATATTTTCTTTCAAATGCCCCAGGGAAGTCGGTTTATTCGCGTAAACTTTAGATTTAAGATAACTCCATAGAAAAAAGTCCATAGGGGTTAAATCAGGACTGCGTGGAGGCCAATTTATGTCACCTCTCCTGGAGATCAATTTTCCTGAGAAAATTTCACGAACTCGTGGCAGAGACGTATTGGACGTGTGTGACGTTGCTCCGTCCTGCTGGAACCATGTTCTTTAGTTATGGCCAGGCAAGTTTTGCAGTTCAGGCGCCAAGAAGTCGTTTAACATCTCCACATAACGCTCTGAATTCACTGTAACTGCACGCCCCCTTTCGTCTTCAAAAAAGTAAGGGCCGATAATTCCTCGCGCCGACATCGCCGCCCATACTTTCACTTTAGGCAATTCTGCTTATTTACGTGTCCATTAACATGAAAATGAGCTTCATCCGAAAACAAGATGTCGGTAAACGTTGAAAAGCGCTCAATCGCCTGATTTACGAAGTCAAGCCTCTGACTGGCATCTTGGGGCTTTAATTCTTGCACCAATTGAATTTTGTAGGGGTGCAGATTTAGGTCTTTGTGCAAAATGCGGTGTAATGATGATCTATGCACATTTAAAGCACTTGCGCGCTTCCGAATTGAAAGGTTCGGGTCGTCACGAACAGACTGATTAACACTCGCCCCGTTTTCTACCGTTCTTGATGACCTTGGTCGCCCGGATTTTGGTTTTTCCAGCGTTGTACCGGTCTCTTCAAACTTTTTGACCCATTTTCAAATAAGAGGAATGCTTGGCGCATCATTTAAATGGCGAAAACCTCGAACACTACAGAACCTTCTACGCGCTGCAGTCGCCGAATCACCGTTTTTGTAAAACTCTCGCACGCACAACGTACGGTCTGCTCCCGAGAAACGCTCCATAGCAACTGAATTCCCAAGAGCCAGGCTACCGATTGACATAACCCCCGTGCCCCTCGGACTCGTTGTGTTCACGCAGTAAGCTAAATAAATATAAACTTTCTTTTGAGACACCTTGTATGTTTTTTTCTGTAACATTGTTCACCTTAAAAGGCTATGCTATCACTGACACTGTTTCTTCTGCAAATCGGCAGCATCTATTTCTATGCAGATGATTGCTCGGGTGATGCTTTTATACCGGTCGTACCAACATTTCTCGGAAAACGTCACCGAGAATCGTAAACAAAATTATGTATGAAATCGAAACTTCGAACTTCGAACATACTCGTAGTTCGATGTAGCCCCATAATGACACAGATCTATTGGTTTTAAGAACTGGTATCAACCCAACTGGTACAAAAACGTAAAAAGTGCGCCTTTACCGTTAGACCTTCTGTTGACATCTAATTCGGACAGCTACCACTGTTAAAGACCCCTTTGGCTCCTCGGATCATTTTTCGCTGTTAATATCCAAGCAAATTCTTGATTTTGTTATATAACTATTTCCTAAATCACTTGCGCTATAAATGTTTCAAGAATACCGAATGCATCACCGAAGACAGTATAAACCGATAATATCCTCTCTTATTATTTTGATTTAAGAAAAAATAAATCATTCCTACTATGTGACTCCCAAACATTCTATGAACATATGGTCCTCTCGGTGTAAATACAAGTTTCGTTGATATAACCTAGTGTTACAAATCAAATAAAATGACAAACGTGAATAATGAAGTACCACCTGGTGCATACATAACAATACAATCCATTGTTGTTTTATCAGATGATTTGAGGTAGGCTTTAAAAGTCCTAGATTCAAATGATTCTAGACAAACTGCTTAAAGAAAATGCGGTAGACTGTTGTAAGAAAATGGAGTACTTGTGGATCGTGTTATTGTTATTGCAAGTGTATAATGCCTCGTCTAGTATACGAACTAGTATGCTTGTCAACAAGTGAGTGAAATTAAATATTTTTATAAAAGTTTTTTATCCATGTTTTGAGCAGTAATTTACAATAACTGTCGTATTTTCTTTGGGACAAAGAAACTTAAAACAAAGATCTGTGCCGTGATCGTATTTGTCTTCATTCTTCGACACTTGACGTAACTGGGACTTTGTAGATATATAAAACGCGGAAAATTTTCAGTTAATTAATAGTATAGAATTAATAGTAAGAATAGAAGGTCAAAACCTCCTTTCTAAAGAGAGGCCTATGTCCAGCAGTGGACCATTATAGTCAGTAATGATGATGTGATGTGGAATAGAATATGGTGTTTACGTTGATAGTAACCCGGGCAAAGTAAAACACATTTATGTTGCATAATAAGCGGCTGGCAACATAAGAAGCTAATAGTGTACTAGGTTTCACTCGATCTCTGAAACTGAAATATCTTCTAGAGTCGATTAATGTGCAATATAGTTAATATGACGATTACTGTTTTTTTGTTCAACAGTAATGTTTCTCTCTATCATTTTGCTCGTCTGCACCCTCTAACATAAAAAAAAAACTATATTTCGAACATCTGATTGTATTCTTAATATTTATAAATCTTCCTAATTTTATAGACTAGCAAAAGTAAAACCTGTTGGCGACAATGTGGCAAACCGTTTTGTGCCACTCACAGAAATACCCCCGCCACACATCTCGAATAAAGGCATAGCATCAGGCAGAAGGCACCTGCCAGATGAGTGCACCCAAAAGCCGCCTCCAAGAGATGTGTTCAAAGGTCCTCAAGTAGACATCATACCAGAGTATTACGACGATAAGGTGGCGAAAAAAGTTGACACAGTTGTGATACCTGATCATATTGACCGTAAGTTTCTTTTTTTATTTTTCTTATTTTGCGGTTGGCACAATGTGAAAAATTTCAAAGTGCGTTCTGAACGCTAACTCTCCTTGGGAGTTTCAACACAACAACAACAAAGGAAGATTTTTATCACGCATAAGAAGAACGAGTACTTCGAAGGAGTTAACAAAACTAAGCAAGAAAACAAATTTCGATCCAAGTTTATCGTTCGTTGCTTTTCACTGAGGGAGTCAGTTTACGGACCAATTTTCATACCAAAAGGGGTAAAATAAGACATGAACGGTTGTATACGAAATATTGTACGGAAGTACGTCTTTTTCAAAGTTAGGAACACGAGATGAGAAATAATCATAAGAGCGAAGCCAAATAAATAGCCAATAAAACATAAAGAAGACTGCTGAGCATGGCCTCTCCTAATATGCGACATAGCACCCAGTCATATTTCATACTTAGGTTCCAATTTTTCTAATCTCTTACTAGTTACGTTATTTCTACGTTTATAATAGTGAGGATATGTACATTTGCAATTTAGATATCCAAAAATATTTTCAAATTTTAGATTAGAAAGCAATTAAAAACGAATCGACATTTCTGCTCCATACTATGCAAACCTTGACAAAGCATTAACAAGCGATGACTCCAGACACTAAATCTCTATAGCTCTATAATCAACAAATTTTTCAGATAAACACTTTGAAGTGACAACGCAGGTGCCATATTTAACAGTTGGTCCCATAGAAGCTATAGGGTATCATCCTAGTACAATGAAGAGTGAACACCCCAGCGAGTGCGAAAAAATCTACCAGGATCATTTAGACGAACAGTATTCAGAAGAATCGCAGGATTACTCAGAAGAATCACTAGAGATGGCTCGAATGCCTATCTTCCTACAAGGTGACCGTGATGTCGCTGAAGAATTAACTTTGGAAAATTTGTACGAAGAGTCCTAACAGAATTTTTATACCCCTTATAATTTTTATACCTAGATATTTTTGTATTAAAATGGTTATATGAAAATATCCTTTTATTTCAGCATGACCTAAGAAAGTACCGATAAAAACTGTATTTAGGTACATATATCTTAAATCTAACACTGATTTTAGGCACCCAAGCAGTAAATACTACCCAAATGCTAATAATCTGCCACCTTGAACCTTGCTGAACGTAAACACACATGTAGGACGTATTTATACATAGATATATACTAGCATTATAAGGCTGAAAAGTGTGTTTGGTTGGACGCGCTAATCGCTGGAACGGGTGGTAATCTGGTTCGAATTAAAAAAATATTTTAGTGTTGAATAGCCCGTTATTCGAGGAAGGCTGTAGACAACATAACATTATGCTACGACCAATAGATCCAAGCATCAATAAAAAACCAGCCAAGTGGGAGTCGGACTCGTGCACGAAGGGTTCCGTTCCATTCTCTTTAAAAACTGTCAAAAAATCATGTCTGTTGTATGGGAGCCCCACTTAAATATTTATTTTATTCTGTTTTTAGTATTTGTTTATATAGCGGCAACAGAAATACATCATCTAAGAATTTCAACTATCACGGTTCATGAGATACAGTCTGGACAGACCGACAGACAGACGAACGGACGGACAGCGGAGTCTTAGTAATAGGGTCCTGTTTTACCCTTTGGATATGGAACCCTAAAAAGATTAAAAGGATGGCAAATTCATTTCTTTTAGATTCTATTTAAATGCGCTTTGATGCGCTCACATCGTAATAAATTTTAAGGCCCTGCATAGGCGAGGAACTATCTCCTGCGTACTTTTTCGTCTTTTAATATACGAGTATATCCTATCCCTTATAACTGTATTAAATAGCGCACACAACGAATTAAGGCTACCGAAAACATCAAAAGACGATACCTAGAGCAGAGCCTAAGTCCTATAATTTTTAACTAAACAAGCAAATTCTTCAGTTTTATAATTAGATGAGTTTTATGTTAATACTCAAAGTCAACAACATTCTTCTAGTGCATTTGGGCTACTTTTGACCAATTTTGTCAGCGTATCAACAAAGTTAACTTCGTATCGATTATGATACGTTATCCAGTTGTCAGAATATTTTTGCCATCAGCTTTGTCAGAAAAGTTTTATTCTGATTGTTAATCGCTCATGAATTTATGAAAGCCAAGAGAACGGTGAGAGGAGTAGTTTGACATTTAAATAGCGCATTTAAATAGAGCAATAATTCTAGTTTTATCTTACTAATCCTGATAACAACAGATAAATATCAGCTGGAACTCAAAAGAACAAGTATTAAATATGGGATAAGAAAAATCTAGTAATTTTTTTAACTTTTATACTTACTTACATTAATACTACCTTAAGACTATAAGTTTACAAATACGCAAATAGAACAAGGAAACCAAACACGTGGCAGCATTATTAACGCTGTCGTTCTAAATACGTCTGTAATGTATGTAGGTACTTAAAAATACAGCTTTTGTTTGTTTTTACTAGAAAACAATTAATATTATTGTTCTATTCTAATTATACATTTTAGATCTTGGTTCTGCTTTTCTTTTTTTGACAGTTTTGATGAAAAACATGAATTTGTCAAATTTCTTTTTAGGCACTAGCCTCATCAAAATGATTCTTTTTCGAATTGAATAGTTTAATTAATGTTTTCGCTATATTATTCAGTTTTCTAACAATAAAATGGGCTAATCATTTCAACTCGATCAACTAAATAAAGCTTATTGATTAAGAACAAAGAGTCACTTCAGCCCATCACAGGCACCAAGAAGTCAAACACATAGTGAAAAAATTTCTCACTCTTCTAATTTGTACAGTAAACAGGCCACATTATCTGTGCCACATAGAAAATGTACTACAACTAGCATAGAACTATACAGGACCCGCTTGTAGGTTATATTTATTGGGGATTTTGATATCCTTATCTTTTTCATCTGCTAACTCTTCTGTGTCGTCGTCGTCAAAGTCATCCATGTCGAGCGGATTTCTGAAGAAGAGAAAAGAGCTGTTACTGTCTTTAAAACATTAAGTGACTGAATACATACCTATAATCCACATATACATATCAAATTTAAAGAAAAAAATGTAACGTGATTTCTGTCACAGAAAACTTGCCACTAAAAATACAATATTAACCGAATAAATTATTGTAAATTTAGGTATCCCGAAATTCTACACCGATTTTAAGAAAAAAATAAGTGTGTGGCGTGCCTTATGGTAGGCCGTTGTCAATGGAAACATTTGCTTATGTTACTAGGCTGTCCTCAGTTATTTAATGGTTGTAATTTATCTATACATATTGTTATTTTTGGTGCATTACGTATTTGGGTGAAAACTTACTAAATTGTAGATCATACTTATAACACATAAATACCCAGTGTTAAGATCAACGTGAACTAGGAACCACAAGTATCATGTTTGTATTGTTATTTTTATATTTAACGAAATAAGAGTAGTTTATAAAATACTTACTTGTTCCAGTCTATCTTATGCCGTTTTCTGAAATAACACCAAGCATATTAAAAGTTCATAATATTAATCAAATAACCTAGTTAAATAAAAGTGAAACATATTTTTAGTTGCAATTAGGATGTTGTCATAACTAAATCACTCGTTAAATCGTACGATTCCAAACCGAATTTTTCAATCACGTACGTACGTACGTACGTAATGCGCTAAAAATACATCACGGTGCCTACCAATAATATCTCAGCAAACACTAACACGCGTAAATGCATTCGTCTTGAAAATGCAGTCTATTAAGTTTATTTCTTATTGCTCGATTCGACATGAAATTAAGAACATTAAATTAATCATGGACATGAAATTAATTCCTTGTAAATTTCTCGAAAATACCGTGTATTGCTAATTTATCTTCCATCTTTTTCTGTTCCTTAGTAATATAATCTATCGTAGTGTCAAAAAGTATGGCAATATGCACAGCGACAACTATGAGTTACATAATTTGGTCCTGGTATTACCTGTTGGTCGCTATGTAGTCCTGGTCCATATACTCCTCGGACACTTCAACAGAGAGCGGTTGCCCGCGGTGATCCTGTAGGATTCCAAAGTACCTAGGTGCACGAGTTACAGTGAACAAAAGAGCTGCAACAAGCAAATTTTAAGGATCAATCAAGGTCCTGTCAAAAAATATAAATAGCCACTTCGATAAAAAAGACTTTGAAAAAAGGATTTGTCGCACATGTTATTACATAAATTTCTAAGAGTAATAGCTTTTTTAGGCCGAGGAGGAGATGGGTTCACTTATGGACACCTGGTCAATGGTTTGGTCATAATACGCGCCTTATAATTTGTTCGCTTACTTCCTGTCATAAAAAAGCAACAAATAATATTGACTGAACGGTATTGGTGACCAATTTGCGAATAACCATCCATGTTTCCACATCCAGTCCATGTTTTTTACTAACTTCAAAAACCAGGACGGTATCAATTTGGGTCAAGTTTGTTTTTATATTAAAATTGAAAAAATATTCCCGCCGATTTTGTAAACCTATTTATAAAGCTGAACGTTTGTTGGAAAACCGGTGCATCCTCATCACATGGGTTATACGACAATCATGGTCTTGATTGTGTCACCATACTCTGGGTTCAATTTATAAACAACGTGATTTTAATATACTCACAATCATCCACAGCTTGGAGTCCTTTATATACCATACATAAAACTATTAGAACTACTTGCAACTTCAACCTAGTTTCACACATATTGAAAAAAGATTTACTTAAGAAGAAAAAGAAAACTAAACCTCTTCAGAAATTTCCTTAAAACAGTCTGGTCACAACGTTGTACTCTTTTCAAACTCAAGTCATACTAAAAGAAAAACCCAAACGTCAACTAGCCGAAACAGTGTTCACGGGCAAGACTTAATCTAACTCAATCTAACTTTAAATGGGCTGGCAGCAAGTTTTGGCTTTCAACTTCCTCCAGCGGAAAAGTTTGAAAAACATAACGTTGTTTGATATTATTCTCACAAACTGGGTATTGTACAGAGAATTATGCAATTTGGCTATTAACACGTGATACAGATTTCAGGCACGTGTGTTTTATTCTAAACTTAAATGAAGTCATAAGCCATGTAACAAAAGAAAGTTGCCACTTCTATTTCATTTAACAAAGATATACTTTTCAATTTGATGACGACCGAATGGCGTAGTGGTTTGTGTAACGGACTGCTATTCCAAAGGTCGCGGGTTCGATTCCCGCTCAAGTCAAACATTTGTGTGCATGAACATTTAATGTTTGATTTGGTCTAGGTGTTTCTTTGTATAATATGTATGTATTTACAAAAAAAAAAGTATATATTATTTATATCAATTTTCTAGTACCCATAGTACAAGCCCTGCTTAGTTTGGGACTAGATGGCGTTGTGTGAATGTGGTACAATATTATTATTATTATTAATAATTTTAGAGTTCCCTGATCTTAGTATTTAGGATTTGATTCATTTATCTCTCAGTCTTGGTTTTGTAACCTTCGTGATATATCTGTAGGTGTATATAGTTATATTTTGTACAATGTCATGATCATCGGCATCATCACCTTCCTACCCGTTTGCCAAATAGATTTAGGGTCGGTGCCAGTTTCAGTTTCCATTCTTGATCACTGGTCTCTTTCACACACTCCTTCATTTAATTGCGAAATGGTTTGGCTTTTCATTTTATGGCCGGCCACCTGCCTGACGCCAACCCTTCGTTTTGTACCTACAATGTATCAGTCATTATTCGGACGTGTTGTTTAATAGTTAAAGTATTTTATCGAAAAATAACAGCTTCAAAAGCGCTGTTTTATGTAACGCTTAGTACGACGGTTGATTAAAGAAAAGTTGGTAAAAAAAAAACAAATTTACATTTGCCTACCCACTGTTTCTTCTCATCTACTGTCGATTTATCCATCCAAAGGTTGCCTGTAAGAGATTGCTATTAGCAATAAGGCCTCCCATTGCCATCCGTCTGTAATATTTAACCAACATACTATAATTGGTGTACAATAAAGCATATTCTATTCTATTCTATAGTAAAGTCATTTGTTGTTGTTAATGAAAAGTTACAGTAACCACGAAGTCGCCAATACGTGGACCCTCATCACATACCATAGAGTGGCTTTGCTATTGGTTATCTCAGTCCTATATCTACATCCATCATAGATTTTGAAACATCATCATTAATGGATGATGAATAGGTGTAGAGGTTTAGTATGATGAAATTCTGCGTCGTTTTATATTATACAGTTCCAGGTTAACGAAATAACAAAATTCTACTGAATTGCTGCTTTTACTATACTAATCTTTCTTAAACCTTCTAGTACCTTCCAGGCCTGCTACTCGTATAGGGTCATGATGATGTAAATCAATGTAATGATTTTCAGTTAACCAGATAGAGCAATGACCTACATATGTTAGATGTAATAGAATACAAACAACAAAAACAATGTTTCTCAAAAGTATCTTTTGCACAGAATGTGTAAAAATAATAATGCTATTTGCTCACAGGTCAGGACATCTTTCACGACAAATTTAGATCTTACAAATCTTTCCTGCTACATTACATTACAACCTTATGAAACCTTTTAGTTAATTCAAGTTTTTATTCATTTTTTTATACTTGAGTTGTTTTTAGGGTTCCGTACCTCAGAAGGTAAAAAGGAACCCTCTCTCTCTTATAAGATCACTCTCTTGTCCGTCTGTCCGTTTGTCTGTCTGTGTGTCACAACCGATTTTCTCAGAAACTGGTCTACCTAGTTGAAATTTATACCAGATACTGAGGTCTATAGTCCCTATTAGGTGTATAAAAATCAAACTCAACACGATAAAAAGATAAGGGCAAATTTAGATTTTCGCGAAAACTTGTAAGTATCAAAATGTACCTTAATTTTCAATTTTTCTTATTTTTCAGAATGTTCTCTTTACCTTGCTTTTAACAAAAATTGACAATTCTAGGTCTACCGGAAGTACCCCTATACGTTTTGGGTCGAAACCCTATATGGTAGTTCCCGTTGACCTAGAATCACGAAAGTTGTGTAAAGTTGCTTCAGGTTCGCTCACTGTTTATTATTAAGGCCACACTTTGTATATCCTGATCTGTTGTCTGTATCTGTTACCTTTTTTTTTTTTTTTTTAACGCGGGGAATGCTTTTCGCACCATACCCTCCGTTGGGGAAACGCAGGGCATGTGTGGGACACCCGGAGAACCGGTCTACCCACTAAACCCCGCGGCGGCCTACCTCGGCAGTCAGGAGGACCTCCAGGAACGCATCGGCGGCTTCTGGAGTCCTCCCTGCCGTACCCCATGTCTATGTCTTCTATCGATATTTTTGTTATGCGCTACTACACAGAACTGGCATAGATTTTTTTAAGCAACTGATAGTTTTAGTTGTTAAAGAAACAATTTCAGAACTAATTCCCAGACTGTTTCGACTTTATATCACTACTATCGACTCTTATTTTATTCATATTTATACAGACGGTTGAATTTTCGACTGTTTTGAATGTTTTACTTAATTTCAGTGACCAATATAACTTGAACAAAGTTTTGTACTCTCGGTTCCAAAAATTACGGGTCAGTCACAAAAATTGAAATATCTCCAGAACTGTAAAAGTTAGATCAATGAAATAAAAAACAGAATAAAGACTTTTTAGTTGCGCTTCTAATAGCATATTATTTAAACTGGTTGATGAAAACAACTTCATTAGAAAAACAAAATCTAAAAAATGACTATTTTTAAAAACAAAATTTTTGTTTCATTTCATTATAGATGCTTTGCATTTCTATTCTGTCACAAACAAAAATATCGCGAAAGTCTTCCACGTGCATAATTATTATTCTGTGAGGTGAAGCATGGCAGTCACGCTAGAGGAATGTACCAGAATCCTAAACTTTTTGGAACTTGGACGGAGCCAGCGTGAAACAGTCGGAAACATTGGTGTATCTTTGTCGACTGTTCAGCGGGTAGTCCAGCGGTACCAAGAGACCGGATCACACCTTAGAAGACCAGGAAATGGCAGACCAAGATGAACAACGGCCAGGGAAGACAGACAACTGGTGGCTACAATGCTCCGAAATCGTTTTCAAACTGCTGTTGGTCTAAAAACTCACTTTATTCGCTTTGGAGGTGGCAATTTAAGCGCTCAAACAGTAAGAAGACGTCTTGCTGACGCAAATTTGAAACCATTGAGGCCCGCAAATGGCCTCAAACTGGAACGGGGACATCGAATTGCAAGACATAGATACATGCGCGAGCACCAAAACTGGACACTAGACGATTGGTCAAGGGTAATGTTCAAGGACGAGTCTAAATTCATGCTTTATAAGCATGATGGTAGGCAGTTGGTGTACAGAAGACTAGGGGAGCGCTTCCATCAAGCGTGTGTGGAGGAAAAAGTGGTGTACGGTGGAGGCTCCGTACAAGTTTGGGCTGGGATTTCTACTGAGGCCCGCACCGAGCTGGTACTCATTCAAAATGGAACTCTAAATGCAGAGAGGTACGTGGAAGAGATCCTCAATGAACATGAAGATCCTTTCATGGCCAGGATGGACCGGCATGGCATATTAATGCATGATAATGCGCGTCCCCATACCGCCAGAATTGTACATGACTACCTTGAAGAGGTCGGTATCGAACTCATGCAGTGGCCAGCGCGAAGCCCGGACTTAAACCCCATCGAGCACGCCTGGGACGAGCTTCAGAGATGCGTGAAAGGTCGAAACCCCCCACCAATCACGCTTCCCGAGCTCAAACAAGCACTGGTGGACGAATGGGAAGGTATTCCTCAGCACCGGCTCCGAAATTTGGTGTACAGCATGCCTAATCGCCTGGAAGCTGTCAGAAGAGCTCGTGGAGGCAATACAAAGTATTAAATGAAGAAAGTGATGAAAAACAGCAAAAAAACAATCATAAAAAAATGTAATCTTAAGAAAAATATGACTACTTTAGCTTTTTTTTAATTTAGAGATAAGTTAAGAGTTAGAGTTTCGATTTAAGTTTCATTTTATTTTTTATCTGTATAATTAAATTCTCAATTGAACAGTCTTCGTTTTATTAGGATGGCATTCGTAGTTCGGGAGATATTCGGGTTTATGTGACTGACCCGTTATTTTTGAAACAGAGTTAAACTGTTATCCTTATAGTTTCATGTAGCCGAAATTACCTAGTCATTAATTTTACGGCGCACAATATTAAAAAAAATAGTTTGCTGCACTTCTTGGACATTTAAACACAAGGTATTCTAAATTTTTTTTACGGTTTACCTCTTTAATTTAAAGAGCCGTGATCCTCTTGTGCTCTTAGATTTTCTCGATATGCATATTCAACTGCTTACAAAACGAATTTTCTTACAACAAATAAATTCAAGCTCCAAGAGCAAATTTTTTTTCCTCAAAAAGAGAACTGCATTAGGAATATATCCTGTGTCGCTGGGGATCTTACATGAAACGAACCCAAACAACACTCAAGACTCAGAACAACAATTTGTGGGTCACACAAAGTGTCGGCCCTTGTGGGGATCGGACCCACAACACGCAGCGTTGTAGTAAGCGGCGTGGCTACCGCTTAAACCACTACACCATTCGTGCAGCCAAATTGACTACCATCTAGTCCGTGTGGTGACGGATTAAGAATACAAATTGTCACCACCCCAATTCATCCCGTGGGTGTCGTAAGAGCCGACTAAGGGAGCAAACTAAGCAGGACAACAGCACTGCAAAGAGAAGGAAAACTTGAAACAAACCCTATACCAACCCGTCTGGCCAGCGTGGTATAGTAGGCCAAAACCTCCTTTCTAAGGAGAGGCCTATGTCCAGCAGTGGACTAGTATAGGCTGTTGATGATGATGATGAATCTCATGTTAAGGTATAGAGGGCCAAACGGGCAGACGGGTCATCTGATGGTAAGTGCCTACCGCCGCCTATGAACAGCTGCAACTCAATAGTCAAAATTGCGTTGCCAATGTGTGAGTCAACCCCCCCCCTCATAATCAGGGAGAAAGGGGGGGTTTGCGTGCCTGCAATCTCACTCATGACGGTACCTGGACCAGCAAAAGTCATTTTAATTTGCTATACCTATTGAAACTAAAGGACTGTTCAGCAAACATTTACGTACAGACAATTCAGTTTATAGAGAAGTGCACACTGGATACCAATAAAAAAAAAACGTTCCGTATAAATTTGATTTGCAGCAATTGAACAACTCTTCGGTGAGGGTACACTAGCTGTAAACAGCATTTGATATTCTTCTAATTAAAATAAAACATCCAAATATTAATCAATCCGTAATTTAATTAAACCTACACGCTTAAAGTCACTTAATTACTTTCTATAGAACAAGTTGCCCTCCCCACCCCACAGTCTTCTACCACCATATCCGATAAGGTCTTGTCGTAATGCGTTATACTTTTTGAAAAATAGTTTCTTTAGAATTCGCTTTCGGCGTTTGTCTTCTTTGAGGCAAGATTCTAACTTGTCCATGCAGATGTCCTCCCTGAAAATATACAAAAAAGTTAACACTGTATGTATTTAAATCGAAATTCAAAATCCTTTATTTTAATAACACCAATTATAGATATTGTATACAGTCGTGAAGCTAGGTGTCATTTCCAATACGTAGATCCTATGGAGAAAAAGAGACAAGAAACCAAAAATATATATTCATCTTGTTTTTGAATAAGTTACTTGTTGAATTGTTCATCATCAACATTAAATGTGAAGTCTATATATATATATATAATACAATATATATATATAAATTTTAAGTGGTGTACGATTCAAAAACTCAAAAAGTTCTACCCGCTTCAATTATGCACGGATGGCGTAGTGGTTTAAGCGGTCACAGGTCACACACAACGAACAGTCGATTTTCCCTGCATAATATCTACATATGCAAGTCTCACTCTCCTCCCTATTTTCTACCTAGATTTTTCCTCTTTCTAACCTTTGAAGTAGAATACTCACTTGTAATTTTGATCCAGTAACAGTTTAATAGGTTCCGTTTTGGTGAATTTGTCGGGTAGTCGCGAGCCAGGCGGCATTTTCGCTATTTCTTTCATGACGCCCATGATGGTGTTTTCAAGCTGCGCTAATTTTGGTACCATTAATCTCTTAATTATCTGTGAAATTAGAAACAATTTTAACATTAATTTGTTATTGTTTATTTTGATCACGTTATTATTGACGGTCAAACGATCGTCTATAAGGTGTCTTAAGTTATTGTTATCAAACATCTCGTTGCTGTTAAGCAAAATAATACATTACTGGTTTACATCAGTATTTTGACATGATTTTTACACATGCTCACGCTTATAATACGACAAAACAGTAAACAAAGGCGTTAGATATCTCTTTTTCGTCTTACTCATTTTCGCATAGTTTCACCTCACATTATAGAGGGTGGGCATTATGGGCATATTGACATCTTCCGAAAGCCTCAGCCTCAAAAGAGAAATGGAAAAATAAATAATAGTAAGCCACCTACAAAGGCATCGAAACCAAACCAAATATGGAAAATGCTCAACTGCAATTTTTTATTATTAAAAAGTATGTGGTGCGTTGAATTACTATCATCAATAGCCTTTAGTAGTCCACTGCTGGACACATGCCTCTCCTTAGAAAGAAGGTTTTGGCCTACTATACCACGCTGTCCAGACGGGTTGGTATAGGGTTTAGTTCAAGTTTTCCTTCTCTTTGCAGTGCTGTTGTTCTGTGTATGTTGCTTATTTAGACGGCTCTTACGAGACCCATGGGATGATATGGGCGGTGACACTCCAAAGTCTTACTCCATCACCACATGGAGGTCCGTCACCAGAAGGAACGGAAGTGCTATGACACTATACAGTACTAGAAAAGTTAATGCTAATGTCCTACCTTTCCACATCGGTTACCAGTTTTACAAGGCGTCCTAAATTTTCTGCCAAGATCCATAACAGGTAAATTCTGTATTTGGCTAATCACATTCACGAAAGTTCCTGTAGCTGTATTTTTTGCTATAAAGAATATAAAAAATATTAAATCAGACATTTATGATAAGCGCATAAAATAAATCATATAAAGTGATTAAAAAGTAATCTCGTATTTCTCATGTTCTTGTGTTTGCATTTGGAAATAATTTTAAACATAGGTAAAATCTTATTTCTAGTCCTTCACCACATTAAAGATTTTATGAATTAAAGGATGACCTTATTACTTTTATACAATTCACATGTAGTATATTATGTTACATATTAAGAGTGTTAAAGAAATACTAATTTTCGCCACCTCTAGAATGATAGGTTCAAATAGAGGATTAATCGAATTAAAGTCAAAGTCACTTTAGTAAAGCGTTTCGACTGTAACTTAATTTACGAAGACCAGAACAGAAGCTAAGCAAAACAGTTAAGCAATAACGAGAGATCATTATTACCGCTGTAGTAAAAATATGAGACTACAAATGGCAGTTCCATTTGTATATATTAAGTAGACTACACATCTGAGCTCAGTAAAATCGGGTAAATACAGAATATGTATTTTCTCCGAATACGAAAGTCCGAAAAAGGAATATACAAGATTATATCTATTCCGTCAGTTGATATCCACAATTAGTATTACAATACCACTGTTGTTAATGTATGTTTATGTAATACTCACCCATTTTTAATTTTTTCGTTTTGCCTACTCTTGCTACATCCGGCTTATTTGATTCGTCAGAATTTTTACCGCCATGAACTAATGTAATTAGAATTAGAGAATAAAAAAGTTTCATTACAAAGAACTTTTTTAAAATCATTTTGTGGGAACGACTTCTCGCGTCCGTGGGTAAGTTATAAAGGAATATGTACTTTTGCTCTAATTCGTGTTTTCTAAGCACACCTACTTCTTGTGGAGGAAAACTTCTCGTGGTAGTTTTGTACGAACGATAGAAATGATTACGTCAGAACGTGTTTGTAAACAACGAAAAGGTTTATTACAAGCACACTATTGTACAACAGAATAATCGTAACTGAAACTGTAATTGTACGCTCAACCTGGATACCAAATGATGAAAGAATATCACAACTACCAGAAATAAGGACTGTTGCAAAGTCTCCTTATGTTTTTGAGAGCAATCCTGGCCAGAACCAATGACATAACAATATTTGAGAGTTTAAGCTGGTCAAACTCCTTTCTAAGTAGAGGCCTATGTCCAGCAGTGGACTATTAAAGGCTGTTATTTATGATGATGATGACCAACACAATGCGGATATGAAACAGTCTCATACTTACATTCATGCTATTATTCCTCCAAATGGGTAGTCAAAGTAACATTTCAACAACTACGAGTATATTATGGCAGACTCACGTTATAAATATTTTTCGCTTTGGGAGATAAACATGGCAGAACTGGCAGTATATCGAAAAGGAAAGTTAGGCTAAAAGGAAAATATTGCTTATGCGAATCTATTCTTGAGTGAGAGCTGGTCAGGATCCTTCGGGTTCAGTACCTGTAGCTCGAACTGGCTCTTGCTGGAAAGTCGAGTCCTTTAGCAGTCCAGTAACATTCGATAGGGGGAATATCTTCACCCATCTTACGAGTAATTATTATAATTTTATACTTAAACGCTACTGAACCTTGTAAATTCATAGCATAACCACAAAAGATCAGAGTATGATCTAATCTACTGCATTCATGATTCTGTCACATTACTCTCTAGGTAGCGCAGGTAGGTATATCAAAAATGTTAAGTTTTAACATTTCGGCAGTTGTTTTCTTAAATACTCCGTTAAAACAACATTTACCATTAACTTATGATCATTCTTTGTTGTTGATACAATAAAGAATGAGTTGATACAATCCAAATACCAAACGACTAAAACAGAAGTAGGTACATAATGTCTAAAAAAATATTTCGGAATAATAATTACACAATTCATTTCCTCGTCACAAAATAAACATGGTTTACATGTAGGGTTAACATAATATAACAATTAGATTTTGTGGGTAAACAGGTACCTAAGCTAGGCTCGAGGGCTATTCAGGATACCAGGTCTCCATCCCTTATGCATTACATTTTATTATGTAGTTATAGGAAAACGCTACAGTAAGCATCTGAAGCGCATCCTTATGATGCCTGTCTACTTAATTTTCTTTATCTTGGCCTTCGATCTGGCATGAAAATTTGAGCTGAATTATTATTAAAATTATTAATGATTTTAATACCATTAAAAATTCATACTAGGTATCAATCATTTTCTTCCGTAATTTCCACATATGATGTGATAAAATTCACCTAAGAAATTTAATGTATTTTCCGCAGAAATGGAATAGGTTTTTTAGCCAAGCACTCCAATTCGGTGGCAGATTATCCCTAAAGCAAATTAGGCAAGTGCCTAGGGGCGCGAGGTTTCAAAGGACGCGCGCGAATTTATCAACATAGAAAAAATATATGCCTAACATAAAAAGAACTGTGTTTGTACGTATGCACATACTTTCACAATGTAAACAATTCTTTCAATCTATAGAGATGTAAGGTTGACATTTAGGGTTTATATTACGTAATTGCTACTACTTCTTTGCTTGCCTTTTCTAATACCTAAGAAGATTGGGGTTAGTGGGTGTACACAAAAATGCAGGTTCTATGCAGACGTGGCCTCGTAACGGCCATCGGAGTAAGGATTCTCTAGCTCGGTATCATGATTGCGGCCATGGCACGGAGCTAAAGCGCGTGGAACTCTACCACCTCATTCTGCGAGTAAGTTATGCTCTAGAAAGAGAGGGCGGAGCGGAACCTAAAGTGGATTAGAACTCTCCCGGTCCGCCAGACCCGAGAGCGGGCCATTTACTGCAGGCGGCTCAAGCGCTGGAGGTCACTGAATGACCGACGTGCTGCATAAGTTCAGGCCTGGGGGTGATAGATGAAGCTATCTGTCACAAAGAAAAAGGTGCGGACGTCTTAATAAAAGCTGTTATCGGAGCCCTCCTATTTTTATACACCGTGTGGATTTAGTCGCTTGGATGCCGATACACCACCCTACCGGAAACCCAGGTGGGGTGACAGCCCAGAGTGAGGCCGGGACGGGTTTTCCCCCGCCATAACGGCCATAACGGCAGATGTTTTATTATTGTATGATTAGTCGAGTATAGCCAAACATAGATTTAATTTTGTCGTTACATTAAAAAAATATTATTTATATAAAAAAAAGTTAAAACTAGTTAAGGTTCCATAAACTTGCCAAATTGTAATCTCAATAGCTCGGTTGCAAACCCACTGTTTTCACACACGTTTTCTGGTTGTTTTAGATGTTGAATCTGGTGGAGAGTAGACCCGGAAAATATTGCCACTTTTAAATCATATTCATGTGATGAAATTATTGGCTTTAGTCACAGCGATTTCACAAGTGATTGCGATTTGGTCATAGAGAAAGATAAATGCCATTAAAATCAATCAAAATTCTTTTTATTTTCTTCATCTTATCTTCGAAGATTTCTGCCTTTTTTTATTATAGACATTTCGCGAGTCTAGCGCTAGCTAAATCATGTGATATATCACAGGTGTAATTTTATTCAATCCTTACTGGAGAACATAGATAAAACGCTGTAAACCAGAGAGCGGAGTTAATTTGACTGTTGGCAATACTGCTTGTTTAATGTTTACAATACATGTGGAATTAAAATTCAAAATAGTATTTATAATTTACTTCATTTCGTCTAGTCTGACACAAATATATTTTAAACCTTTCCAAAAACTAAAAAAAATTATAGTGCTATATAGTTTTATAATTATCATAATTTGAAAAGAAATTTGCTGCACATCATGAAAAACAAACACAACCCTGACGATACACGTGAAATTATTGAAAAACATGTATTTAGTAAAATCGAATGGCAAGAAAATCTCACCATCCTAGATCTTAGCAACAGAGGTATATCAGATTTTGATGAAAATATAAATTTACCAGAGAATCTGGCTGTCTTAAATTTGGCAAACAACCAGCTACAAGGGGTACCTATAACAGTGTTGAAACTAAATAAGTTGAAGACACTTGATTTATCTTACAATGAAATTGAATTATTTAACGAAACACCCAATTCCTATCATACTCTAGAAAGCTTAAATTTAAAAAATAATAAATTGGTAATGCCACCTTCTTGGGTATGGGTAGAAAATGCAAAAAAAATTGTTCAATTAAATTTAAGTTACAATCACAAAATCTGTCAATCATTGGTCAAGGATTATTTTGAAGAATTGCTACAGTACACAACTCAAGTACGCAAAATAGACTTACAGGGCTGTTGTTTAGGTAAGCACATGAAATTAATGTCAACATTTAAGCATGCTCGAGTTGTGAATTTAGGAAATGATAGTTATAACTACCTGTGTGTAAACCATATAGAATATGTGCCGAGCATTGGATTAGAAGACTGCCATGAAGTAGAGATACTTAATTTATCTAACACTCACATTTACAACATAGAACATAATATAGACATATATCAGTGTTTAAAAGAATTGAATTTATCTAATAACAACATAAACAGTTTACCAAATGAATTCTGCAATTTGCTAAACATGGAAATATGTGTATTGTCATATAATAAAATTCTGTATTTACCTGAAGACATGCACAAACTAGTAAAATTGACAAAACTTTACTTAAACAATAATGAATTATGCATGTTACCTGATACTCTATGCAAACTGGATAGTTTAAAAACACTAGATCTATACATGAACCATTTGTATGAAGGTGTTGATGATATAAAGAACTTAGAAGAATATGATTTTGCACAAAATTATAACAACGAACCTGACAGTGAAATATATTTGAAGAAAAAAGCACGGTTGCGACAAAACCATCATGATAGACTTGATGGCAGGTATGAATTCAATTTTATTATTTTATTTACTTACCCCGATTAATCTATACTACAGATAATATATGGCCTTCTGATCCTAAACTAGACAGACCATGTACTTTAGTAATTATGCATTGGCTAGAGGAACCAGCTAATAAACATACTTATAACTTACTTAATTCATACATAAAATTTGGTAAGTTAGTACACCCTTTTTACCTGTGTGGCAATCCCCAAGAATACCACTCATCAGTGGAATGGTTATGTCAAAGTCGGACTCCAACTGACTAAAAATCGCACGACGGCTCTGGTAGCCTGTCAACTCTACAAACCCCAGGCCATCTACGGCTTGTAGATGACCCCTCCATGGAGACCACAGTGTTCCCAATCTACTTCCTAGAGGACTCGCGCCTGAGTCGTCTGCGGTACCTGGCGCATTCACAGGCCTGGCGGATCTGACTTCTGAACCTCTCCGGACCCGCTCCGCCGTCGCCTACGCGAGCATGACTCGCAGAAGGAGACGGCAAACACGTTTTCTCTTCGTTCCATGGCAATCGTGGTGCCGAGTGAGAGAATTCTCACTCCGATGGCCGCAACGAGGCCATCCACCTCCGTCAGCGTGTGGAGCGCCGTGTCCACAGTCCGGCCATCACAGTGGTGGCTCTCGGACGTTGGAGATAAAGGTCACCCGGAAACAGAAGAAATGATAATCCTCATCACACCATTGATTGCACTAGAATTTTTAAAATCTGTTCAGAGGCTTAGGAGTGAAAGTGAAACTGCAAACACATACATAATATTTAGATTACGAGTATTAATATGGCAGTTTATGCAACCATTACATACCTCTGAATTACCTGACATTTCAAACAGGTTGCACTGGTCACAACATCAGCCTTAATCACCATATTAAAAATAATAGATCTTGCAATGCAAAAGTTTCAATTTAAATAGATGAGTGTTGACTTTTCACATACATCCATATATCTATACATCTATACAAATAAATAAAATTGGAGTGTCCGTTTGTAATATTAAAATAACCGCTTTTTACTAAATGCATATTTATGTTTACATGGTACGTATGCCAAAATATCATTTTTTACGTGTGCGTTACCCCAGCAAAATAATGTCGAAAATGGTCATTTAAACTTTATAGATAATTAGTTGCTCCCCTTCTGTAATTGTTAGGCACATTTTTAAATTTGTTTCACTTAAACTTTTTTAGTTATTTCAAAAAAACATTTCCTGCTGGGGTAACGTTTGAAACGTTACCGCAGCCAGACATTTTCTTTTTTAATTGTAATATTGAAATAAATTTTAGCTAGATAATTAGTTATCTGGACTAGGTAAATGTTACAACTTATTTGGTATTTGTATTTTCTTCGGCTGCGAAGTTATTCGAAATCCTGCTGGAGTAACGTTTGTGGGTTTGCTGGATCTCTGAAACGGGTAAGCGGATTGTAACCATCTTTTGTACATAACTTCTTAAGGATTAGTTTTAATTTGTTCGACAATAAAATAACAAAAATAATGGACCGTTTAAAAATTATTTAGGTAAGTATGAAAACACTTCAATACGTCCTAACACTTTAAATAAGACCTCTAAAGACTTACTTGAAACGTTATTCTATTGCTTGTAACTACCTTCAAATGTATACGAATTTTCGTAAGAATACTGTAAGTGACTAAAAAGTTATGATGAAATGTAGCTCTCCACGTTCACGATCACGATGTGTGCGGCCTTTTTTGGCCACCGATACACCTGTGTGTGGATATATAAACTGAATGTTATGCCAATAATTAGTTGTTTAGTTCAGTTGTCTACCTGTAGAATTTCAGCGTCGTACATATAATAAATTACGAGATAATTAAATAAAAGTCATTAGAAGGTGCAAGTCCGTGGTAATCCGACCATGTTTAGGTGGTTACAAAAAAGCGATCACCCAGTACATTGCGCTGTCTTTTGAAATGTTTAGTGTAATACACCTTACGATTTCGGTACAGTTGCGTACAGTGTTAAATACATTCAATATTTATTCATTATTATTACCTATTATTTATTTTGTTTTTTTTCCCTAATTGATCTTAAGCACTTGTTTCTTTACTTAAAATTTATTTAGTCTTTTTTACTACCGGAGCTACAATCAACAGAAAATCTGCACTGGTCCGCTAAAATTATAAATATGTAGATACATGTATGAACGATTCACCTGACTGCAATAAAACGAAAATTTAAACCAATAAGAAATCGTTTCATTTCTTTGATTTTTTTTTGTAAAGAAATAACACTAAAGTAATTGTATTTTATTTTGGGGTGTATAGAGCTTAGACTTGAATGCATCAAAATATTTAAAGCAACAAGTCATCTACAATAAGTTAAAATAGACCGAATAGTAGAAGAATACAGTTGTAAATTAGAATGCATCAACATTGCATCGCCCAACAGTCGTATACCTCGTAAGAGTAGGTAATATTGTTCTGTGGTCTATACCTAGAACCGAGAATTATCTATACCTATGTACCTACCGTTAAGCGTTGAGCCCGTGACTGTTGATTTCTGTTAAAAACGAACAGTTGTTGAATGATATTTTGATATAATAACGGTAATTTAATTTATCGAGTGAAAGTGATACATTTTTATAGATAAAATTATTGGTCAGATAATATTTGTCAATCAAGAATCGCTGATAATACATCCTTCGCTAGAACGCGGGAGGGGAGGGGCGAAGGGATACTTCATTGTTTGCAATTTGCATCTAGTGCACTAAACTTGACCCTTAGGCAGATAATATACGTGTTGTAAAGTACGTGTGCGCTTCCGCTTTCTATTTTTGCAAATATTTATCGTATTCTTGAGAGTTCTTCAATATGTGTGTACCTACCTAATTACTAATAATAGGCATTAATTCTAATTCGATTCAATTTAAGTAATTGTCAATTCTTGTCTTAGGATATTAATTACTAATGCTAATATTGAAATTTCGTTCAGGGTGAACAAATTAAAAACGATCATAACTTTTAGGTAGGTATATCACTTATTACTAATTTTACATAAATAATTTATTTTATTATAATTTAACTCACCGCGATTTTGTGATCAAATATTTTATTTTCTCCAACATTATTATAGAAATAATGCAATACAGAGTTTGTTCGCGATATGCTAGCCTAAGTCGATTCATCACTTAAAAAAATCCCCATCTATTCACAAAATACCTATTTACAACGCATACGTTACACTCTTCAAAACTTATCATTTCATTTCATTTCATATTTCTTAAATTACCTATACCTACCCTAAAATTAAACTTCAATTAACAAATACTACGCAGGTACCAATTCTATGAACAACTATAAACAATTCACCTAAACATTACGAGAAAACAAAAGCATTCAAAACAATACCTAATCTCCCGGCTGATTACTAATTATGCAATAAACAATCCTAAATAAAAAATATTTAAAAAACATGTAGTTTTTTGTAACACTTGTGTACATATCCGTAGTAAACTTGCAAATAATATCCTACATATTTTAAAAGCCAGCACAATGTACTGGGTGATCGCTTTTTTGTAACCACCTAAACATGGTCGGGTTACCACGGTCTTGCACCTTCTAATGACTTTTATTTAATTATCTCGTAAATTATTATATGTACTTCGCTGAAATTTTACAGGTAGACAACTGAACTAAACAACTAATTATTGGCATAACATTCAGTTTATATATCCACACACAGGTTTATCGGTGGCCAAAAAAGGCCGCACATATTGTGATCGTGAACGTGGAGAGCTACATTTCATCATAACTTTTTAGTCACTTACAGTATTCTTACGAAAATTCGTATACATTTGAAGGTAGTTACAAGCAATAGAATAACGTTTGAAGTAAGTCTTTAGAGGTCTTATTTAAAGTGTTAGGACGTATTGAAGTGTTTTCATACTTACCTAAATAATTTTTAAACGGTCCATTATTTTTGTTATTTTATTGTCGAACAAATTAAAACTAATCCTTAAGAAGTGAAGTACAAAAGATGGTTACAATCCGCTTACCCGTTTCAGAGATCCAGCAAACCCACAAACGTTACTCCAGCAGGATTTCGAATAACTTCGCAGCCGAAGAAAATACAAATACCAAATAAGTTGTAACATTTACCTAGTCCAGATAACTAATTATTTAGCTAAAATTTATTTCAATATTACAATTAAAAAAGAAAATGTCTGGCTGCGGTAACGTTTCAAACGTTACTCCAGCAGGAAATGTTTTTTTGAAATAACTAAAAAAGTTTAAGTGAAACAAATTTAAAAATGTGCTTAACAATTACAGAAGGGGAGCAACTAATTATCTATAAAGTTTAAATTACCATTTTCGACATTATTTTGCTGGGGTAACGCACACATTTTTTACAATTTTTGTCTGTCTGTCTGTTTGTTCCGGGTAATCTCTGGAACGGCTGGACCGATTTCGACGGAACTTTCACTGGCAGATAGCTGATGACATAAGGAGTAACTTAGGCTACTTTTTTTAGACTAGCTTCGCCCCGCGGTGTTGCCCGCGGTTATAACAACAAACGCGGGTAACACCGCGGGTCTCGGCTAGTTTTATATAAAAACCTAAATATACATATTCATCCACACAATATTTGCACCAAGTAAAATAAAACATTCATCAGGGTGGAATAAAATTGCTACAGCACATGAAAATAACAACCTCTCTTTCCACAAAAAGAAAGTATATAAACCTATATCAGTCTGCGACATTACAGCTCCTAAAACAAACGCATTCCGGTTTAGTTTAAAAGGTAAACTGTGTTCGTAGGCATAATAAAAAAAATATTCAGTCATTCTCTTGCCAACGTTTTTTTTCTTTAATGTGGAATGAATGCGGAATAACAAATAAGTTCACCGGCTACTGATGCCCTAAACGCGTTGCGGTTTTTGTTCGGTACGAGTCCGACATAACTACCTGTATCCAAGGATAATTCCGCACAGAAAAAAGGGGTGTTTTATTTATAAAATAGAAATTATTATATGCATAACAGTCTCCCGACTGACATCTGAACCATTTCTTCTTTGATATTCATAAAGCTTATATTGTTCTAGGGCTCCAGAGGTGGTGCAAGAAGGGAGTGAATGCAGTGAACACGCCAATAATATAGATTATTATAGTGAAGATGATGCTCTTGAAGGTAAGCTAAACTAAATTATATAGTGTAGATATTCCTCACAATTTCGCCTTTGTTTAGGCATTTGTCCCATCGCCAACGGTGAAGAAGAAACGAGTTTGTGAGAAGCGAGTGTGTGTGGTTTGGATAGTTTTGTCGCTGGGCTATAAGCGAGTGTGCGAGGTGTGGTGTGGCGAGGGGCGATTACTTGCACCATTCACTCGGGACAATTAGTCCTCCGCAACATATGTGCCCGTCGCGACGAAATAAAGAAGGCGTTATTTATTGCAATTAACTATGGATGGTCTATGTTTGGGTGGTCTCTCGGTGGTAAGCGATGACTGCCAAGCGAGCATCACTGACCAAGTATCGCTGAGCGATTATTATGTTTGATAGCTCTTGTCACTCAACGACAAACTAGGGGAGTGAGTCCTCGCCAGCAGTGTAAACAGTCAGCGACCAATTATTAATATCATGCATCTCTTTTGTCTGTATGAAATGTATGTCTATAATACGTTTCTTGAGCGAGCAAAATAGCCGATAGTTAGTCGCTTCCTCGGCCGTGATGGGACAACTGCCTTATGGTCACTGCTTGCCTCCTAAGGGTCATTACGTGATGTTGAATACCCCACAACTTTTCTTAGGGAAATAAACGACTTTCAAATATAAAAGTAATCACTATCACAATTAAAACCAACTAAGGTTAAACCAATGTGTTATTTATTAGCTATTACAGCTAAGGTTGTAATAGCTAATAAATAACACATTGATTTCTCTATCTTTAGGTAAAATATCATCTTGTCAAGACCTGTCTTAGATAAATAAGTTGGTTGCAGATAAATGTCCCAGGCATCCTACAATTTACATCTTGAATAAATCGTAATGAATTAAAATTGTAAGACACAGTTAAAAGATGAAATCAAAACTATATTCAATGAACTATATCAGCATTTCTTTGTAAATTTCCAGTATCCCAAACATCTCCTATCAGCCGCAGCAGTACTCCAGAAGATTGGGATTCTGATGACTTTTGGGTTCCTTCTCATGTTGACTACTCCAGACAGTGGACATCAAAATACTACCAAGGTCCAAGCTCTTCATCACCAATGGCTATGCAATGGCTTGATTATGTCAAAAGAAAAATGGAGGAAGGTAACTTCTGCCCCATGGACATGCATCTATCAATCTCCATTACAGAAAAAGTCAAATATGAGAAGATGCATAATCCTAACCCTCAGTATGAATCAGATGGACAATTTGATGATTATTCTGATGATGACAGCTGAAACATAAGCATTTTAGTTTTTAAGTTAGAATACAGTGTTAGAATTTAATGTTCGAACTTTTTATAGAAAATTCGATTAATATTCGATTCGACAGATTCAATAAGTATTAGTAGATAATATGAGTACTCGAGTATAGGACTTACTCAATAACTCAAATCAGGCCAACAATATATAATAGTCGCCTATTTGCTTCAATAATGTGTTTTCTCAAATCATTGACATATACATTACACTAGATTAGTAATTACCGCTCAAAAGCGTTGCCACTGCACATCTGTCCACAGCCATATGCACAGCAAACGTCAGGTCAGTGTTCAATGTGGCGCCAGAATAACAATCGCCAAAATGGGTACATGCGTAGTGATAGCGATTGCGAATGCGATTCAAGGCAACAAAACCATAATTACTTTTCACGTGAGTCGATGGTTTATATATTGAAAATAATGTAAATAAGACTATAATTGAATTAAAAATTAATCATTGTAATTTAGATTCAGTGTTACCATTAAAACATCGTTTTGGTTTTCCCACATCAGTGGGAGAATTTGTAATTCATAAAATAATATGCTTAATACTGTTTTTTAATATTTTGGCAATCATAATAAAATATATTAAGAACGGACTAGAAGGGTAGTTGATAGGGCTTGACCAATCTTTTTTTTTAGACACCGGTCGAACGTTCACCTTCTTCCAAGCTCGCATTACTGTATTTTCTTAATTAATTATCAATTTTATAATAATAATTTTACAGGATATAACCATTGTAACAAAAAGCAAGATATTTTATTATTTAAACTTATTCCATTCATTTCGAAAAACATTATTTAAAATATTTAAATTAATTTATTTTATTACAAAATTGCTTTAAAAACTTTTTTCCGGTTGTTATGGATAAAATTTCATACAGTAGTCCACACTGGCCCGCCATCGTAAAGTTATGTCTTTGTCCTTGTCTAATCCTAGCGACGGTATTGTTCTTGTAACACGTGTAAATGAGACATAAATGTTTAGTGGTATCAAAGCTACGTCGTCACAGTTTAATAGTGATTGCACTTTTTTCGACGTTTGGTAATGAGGTTTGTTTATTTAGTTGTTGTGTCAAAAAATAATTGTCTCATGACGAATGTGTATTTCAGGCAATTTAATTATTAATAAGTATTTTTATTACGAAAATCTAAGAAAATCCTGATAATTTAATATTTTTTTTGATGTTTCATCATGGGTTCCTACTTGTTCTAAGTTTTTCTCTACCTCGGTGCTATTTTTACTTTTCGAACTTGTCACGTTATCAAAGTAGCGTATTAGTTTTTGTTTTTTTAATAAACATAGTAATGTATATAGTTGCCTATTGACCCTATGGCCCTATGGCGCACGTGCCCGGGGCAGCACGAATAAATTATGGACTTATTTTTAATTAATATAGATTATTTCTCTTCGGCCGCCATCGAAGCCAAAAAATGATCTTCCTACGAAATCAGTTTCGAACCAGGATCTTTTTTTCTTTCATTCACAAATATATTTTTTTCCTCCTCAACTGGTTACGAACCATCGGTCTCGATGGCTGCCGAATGGGATTATTTAAGCAAATAATAGAAAATAGATACAGCAAGTTTGACAAATTGTAGTCATTTAAAGAAATGAGTTTATTAGATAAGGGTATTCTTTGGCAGAATCTTTTCTATAAGTTACAAGGACAGAAATTTTCTTTTGTGAGGTGCTCCAAAATTGAAACTACAGAAGATGCTTAGATAAATATACGGTGTTCGGCGGGACGTTTAGAAATATATGAGTATGTTTATCAGAAGTCTGGTTACCATAGCACAGGCTTTGCCTAGTTTGGGATCAGACTGCTGTGTGTGAGATGTATGGAGTTATTATTATCATGTTGAACATAAGAAAATGTGGAGTAGGTAGGGTCGTGTGCTACCTACTCAGCACGAAAGATTTGAACTAGGCCCGAATGTTTTTTTTTATAAATTTTTAGGGGACTTTAGCTTTATTTTCTTCTACTCGTTTGTAGACGGCCCGGGGTATATCGGGGCACCAGGGACTTCCTTTCTAGGGTATACCTGGTTCCCCGGCTATTAGTATCCGAGACGGCGTGCGGTTTTAGTCGGTTCGAGTCGACATGCCACCATGGTGGTATCCGAGGGGATTTCCGCACGGAAAAAAAAAGAAAAAAAGGGGACTAGAGCAAATCTTTAGTGCTGAAAAGGTACCAGACGACTCGACATACTCCCTCTTTCTGTGTGTTCAACGATCAGCCGAACAACCTGTATAATCTTTTTCGTATCTTTCAATATCCAAAATAACTTGAAATCTCATTGCTTTACATACAGCCAAGTTCACATACGAGTAGAATATTTTTAGCTTTGTAGACGTTTTATATAACTTCAATAAAAAAATTAACTGATGTAATATTTATATTGATATCAATAAAACTTCCATAGCTACTAAACAAAAATAAAAAGATAATCGCATGACAAACAGTATGAAATGTTTCACATCTGTTTTTTCTATTTATGTATCAGTGACTGTGATGCTACAATATTTATAATGTTATGATTCGTGATAATTAGCTATTAACTTAAATACCTATGTAAATAACCTACAGTAGAGTCACTAATCTGGCACTATTTAAAACTAAGGGGTGCCATATTACTGGAATGTTTGGATTACTGGATTGTATAGAAACATTCTTAATAAATAAAACCAACCATTTAGTAAAAGTAAAATGTATTTGTATTCATAAATGTATGTTTTTTTTATTTGGGTGGCCAAAGCTTTTCGGACAAGTTGTATCGTTTGGTAAACTTTTTCACTTTTTGAACAAAATCCTTATAGAACCATTCACTAAATATTTAACCCAACTTTTAAATTGGTTCTTAAAGCAGACTGGCTGATAAATATTTTTAAAAGCTCTGGGAATTTGAGCCTTACTAATCACCAATAAATACGATTTTTGTGTGCCAGTAGCATTTGAACAAGGCATAGATGTAATTCTATCTTTACGCACTCCACGACCTCATGTGTTCGCTCGTTTAGATGATACAACTGTTTTACTAGGAAACAGTCTCCAGAACAGACAACTTTCGTCTGGAAATTCGACCCGACAGAAGACCGAGATTCTTCTACTTCGACGACTGCATGGCGTAGTGTTTTGTGTAACGTACTGCTATTCCAAAGTCCAAATTCCAAGTCAAACATTTGTGTGCATGAACATTTAATGTTTGATTGGACAGACGGGTGTTGCTATGTATGTATGTATTTAGAACAAAAAAGTATAGATATATGTATTTATATCAGTTTTCTAGTACCCATAGTACAAACTCTGCTTAGTTTGGGACTAGATGGCGTTGTGTGAATGTGGCAGAATATTATTATTATTATATTATTACTTTGTCTTTAAAACGTCTTTGTCAATTTCCACATAATTTCTTAACTATTTAATTTCTTTAAAATATAAATTGTATCTTTCAAAGCAAGTCACATATTACCGTTTATTTGTAATTTTTAACCACACTATTTTCAGTTGAAAACAGTAGCAACAGATAAACTATAATATGTGCAGTGGTTGCTATTGTGATAACTTTTGAGGTTACACTGATACCAGAGCGCAAGCGCAAAGCGGGAATAGGGAGATAAGGTAGGCGCGGGCGGAGGGTGCTGCATTGCTGAGACTACTGTATATATATAAGGATAAGCAGAACTGTAAAATATTGACTGTTCTTTAAGTCCATGGAGATGTTTGACAAACAATGGGCCTTGGTTTGACTATTTTAACCTCTATCATTATTTTTACAAGCATGTATTGTTTTATAATCATCACATTACAAACACAGGTCATCTATACATATTATCGCCGATAAACAGAGGCGTATTAAATAATAAGTATTTACCTATGAACTTGGATATTTGTAAGTTTTTTTTTAGTTAAAGTACTAGCTTTTCCTTTTGATGGCAGTTTGTTTATCCCTTTACTTTATTCTTATGGACGGGAGGCGATGAAGTCAGTGAACGCGTTTTATTCTGCCTATCGGGTGCTGAATTTTGTCACACTTAAAACATTGACAAGATTTTGAAAAAAGTAGAAATCGTTGGGGCAAGGTAGTGAGTACGGTGGGTGACGGAGAGCTTCTATCCGTAACTCTTGTAGCTTTGCAATGGTCTTTCGTGAAGTATGAGCTAGCGCGTTGTCGTGGAGAAGCAATGAGATAGAGCTATGGACCAGTCGTTTTTGTTGAATTGCGAACTTCTACATCATTGTCTGCCGTCACTGCCGTTACGGAATGGCCCGGCACTGGTCCACAAGACAGTCACCATCATCTTCCAATAGGTAATCTTTTTTTTAGCGCACTGATTAGGTTTATCGTACAGGATCCACTTTTCATCGCAGGTAACAATTTAAACCCGAATTCCCTCGTTTCCATGCCGATTCGGTAGTGTTACGCATGGCTTCGACGTGTAAGTCTCGCTGATGGTCTTTTAGTTCGCGTGGAACCCACTTCCGATTTGACGCAAGTGCTTAATTTTTTTTTACTAACTCCAAAGCCCGCAGCAAGCTCAGCCGTAGATTGAGTTGGATCCGCGATTGAGTTTCCGAGTGGAAACTACCGCCTTCAATTCGTCGTTGTCGACTATAGCTGCCGGCCGACCGCGAAGCTCGTTCAACTTTAAAACTATTGAACCAATAATGGATGCTTATGCAAGCAGTGTTGGGCCCGTACATGTCATTAATGTTTCGTGTTATTTGCGCAGAGCTATTTCTACGTAGCAACTCATACGAAAATTGTACAAATTTTTAGTTTAAACATGGCACCAAAAACTACCACAAGTTTACAAAAACAAAACACTATATAAGACAAATGACTGAATTTTAAATTGAAATAACATGACTTCCAAATAACATTTATTTGAAATCGAATTGCGTATAATAAAATCTGAAAATGCTGGTTTTAAATATCTCCTACTTCATAGCTTAAGTACCCAGGTACAGAACAAATGATTGTGCTCATTACAAAATTGTTTGTCCGAACGCCCGTCCGTCCTTTGTTGTGGTAGGAATCGAACCTATGCCCTCTGGCTAGCAGCCAGGTTCAACATCAATAGGCCAGTCTATCTATACATGTATTCTGTTTAATGTTATGATTAAGAGATAGTTATTAAAAAATGTTTGTTTTCATTGCAAAGATAAATAATTGTACAAATTTGAATGTACATACATACTCGTACTTAATGTAACATACATTAATAATTATATGTATTAAGAATAGGTAATAAACGTTTCAATCAAATCTCAGTGCTGTATTCATTACTTTGAGTATTTCTTCATGAATGGTGTCTCTATTTTTTCTTGTGACCTGTAAAATAAAATAAATTATGTTTAAATTGATTAGCCAACGTGGCAAGTACACGCTATGTGTATTAAAAACGACATCGCTCGCCTCTCATCGCTCCGCATTAGATGAATCATATCAAAAATGATTTAAAAACCATATTTATGAATCAAGGGTGTTTCTAGGCAAATACTACGGGTGGCATTGTAGGGGAGGGGGGTAACTGTAAAAAATGGATCACGTAGTATGAGTATGTTCCCTCATCAGATGACAGTGGTTATATGAAATGTCAACTGCCAGTATAGAATAAGTTCCCGACACTTGATTTGTAAAAGTTCCTGATACGTAAATAACCTTTTAAAACAGTAGGTTTAAAAAAAATAAGATAACTATTCTATCTGAATGTTTTTATAAGGCAAGAATACCTTGTTAATCCAACACTCGGTACGTTATACACAGTTCATTCAGTACAGTAGTCGGTACACTCTTACTAATTGTAGTTAGGACAGTGTACTACACAACACACAACTGCTATATGAACATCTGTGGCAATCGTTACTGGTAATTGAGCCCTAAAAATGTTCGACAACAGTTTTTTTACAAAACTTGGATATCACCTAGTAATTAATATGCTATACAATAAGCCAGAATAGCAGCTACAACAGTAAACATAGGCACATGTTTAGTTGCTGCATTAGGTTTAAGAGATTTATCAGCATAGGTCTGTAAAACACCACAAGGCACAGTCTTCCTCATGTTGCCCATTGGGCTAAGTCTGATAACAAAGCACTGCATTCCTGGAGTTACTTCCACAGGTTTTCCTTTAACATCCAATGCGCTCACTAGCTGTGTAGTGTTTGTTGTTGTAGTTGTTACCACTACAGACGATGAACCTGGACAACACAGACAACAGTCTTTTTACAAAACTTGGATATCGCCTAGTACTTGGGTTGTCTAGTTCTGATGACAGTCGCTCCACGTAAAAAGTTGTCTCATAGTAGACTTAAAGCCGACCCCAACCCAGTTTAGGAAAAAGGCTCTGAGAAAGAAACACAACTACAACACTAAGATGGGCACTAAAAATAGCCATGTCCATTACAGTAAGTGCTGAGAGTTCACCTATTTGTAGGTTACGGCATAGAACTAAACTAGGGACTAAACAAACATACATGAAACGAACAACAAAGAACACCCAGACTCAGAACAACAATTTGTTAATCACACAAAGTGCCCCATATGGGGATCGAACCAACAACACCTATTTATTAAACTTGGTCTTTTCTTTATAGGATAGGTGGGCATGCGAGCATACAGGTCACCTTATGGTGACTACCGCAGCTCAAGGACACATGCAACTCGGGAGTGACAAGTGAGTTGCTGCCCTGCGGATCCCCCTCCAAAATCAGGGACCTCCTGTAACCTCACTCACTCAAAGAAAAGCAACAAAAGAATTGTTCAGAAACATCAAATTTTACTTAGAACTAGCTGGTGCCCGCGACTTTGATCGCGTGAAATTTGAAAAGCGCTGCCTGGGTAGGTTCGATTCCCAGACCGGGCAAAATTTTGTAGGGTTTTGCCGAGAAAAAAATAGCCTATGTTACTCCTTATATAGACAGCTACCTGGTAGTAAAACATTACCAAAATCGGTCCAACTATTTTGAAGATTACCCGGAACAAACAGGCAGATAGACAGACTGACAAAAATATTTAAACTGGTTTTTAGGCATAGGTATCCTAAACCTATTATTTTGACATTACAAACATACACTTCAATTTTATTTATTTGTATAGATATAGTAGTTATGAGGTGTCATATCTAAACACGATACGTATAGGCCGCGGCCCAACAGATAAATGCTAATCGGCGAAAGAATTGTTAATACCGCGATACAGGATTAGGAGTTACTCCATAGTTCAGTAGATAATTACAATGAAGTCCCGATACTTTTTCATTTAAATAACTGTTATTGGGAATTTTCGAACCTTTTTAACTGAGACTTGATTCTGAACTCTCATTGTGAGGCCTTCTTAGCCTTTTAGCCTGCCTATTTAGAAGACTGTAAATAAAAAGCCTCTATATCTTTATAAAAGATATAGGTCCCTTCAGATCCCACTTATCCAGGTTTCACGCTATAATTAGTAGATATGTGTATATGTTTCTTAGAAACGTTGCACTAAGTAATGTTATATGTAAGAATAAGTATTTTAGTCTAATTCTCTTTTATAAAATTATGTACTAACCATCCAGACCTTCGCATTCTTGTTATTTCTTATACTCTCTATCAACTGGTCGCCTTTTTTCAAAGGTATGGTAGCTAGCACGGTGTAATGTGATGGGTGGTTAAAAATAATTTTAATTGCAGCCTTGAATGTCTCACTCTGGAATTCCATCTTGCCTATTTCATCAATAACCAGTACCTGTGGTGTGGAATCCTCTGACTGGAATGAAAATAATCAACAGTAATAATAATAATAACCTCACACATGGTAACCAGACTGCTGATAAACAAAATGTATCTAAATACATATATATTATTGATAAATTACACACAGACACAGAATGAATGATTACATTCATCCCACAATTATTTATCCTGGTTGGGAATCGAACCCACGACTTCGGTCAGGATCAATAACCACTCGACTAACAGTATCATAGAAAATCATAAATTTCAAATTAATTTAAAAAGATTAACCTTTACTAAACATGGCATTGCAATAGTTTCAAATTCTTTTACTAAAACGCCATATTTGCCGACTTTTTGCTTTATTGGTGCGCTCAACAGGGTCTGATCGCGTGCCAATCGTCCTCTAACGCCATCCACAGTCACAATATCAAACCCTTCTCGAACTCCGTCTTTCCTGATCTCTTCGGTATAAAAGCCCGACAACTTGATGCCTTTGTCAGCGATAGTTGACGAAAGTTTCTTCGTTAGAGTGGTTTTACCAACCCCTGAAATTTATTTAAACAATGTTTAATCCGTTACAGTGCGTGCAGTATTTTAAATTTACTGTCTTTGCCTGACCAGGTTCGCCAGTAAGAACGAAAAATTTTAACTTATGGTTAGCCATTTAAGTTTTGCCTATTAGTTAATTTGTACTTTAACTTTATGTAAATAATTATAATAGCTAAACCAAGCTTATTTATATTGATTTTTCTTGTTTATTTATATCTGACCGTGTATGACACTGACAAATTGTTTTGACGCTGGATGCTTACGTTTTGTTAGGGTTTGTCTTTATGAGCAAAAAACGGCACAGAATATAATCAAAAACGTTTTAACTGTCAGCATGTAATTCTTAAAATTTTATTAAATCAAGTCTGCATGCAACAAGTGGTAGCGCGTTAAATAAGATAAAACATGGCATACATGCGTAACATATGTATTTGGGTGTAGCAAAACTAAACGACAATCCTGATTAATACGATATAAAAGAAAAGAACAGTGAAGTTTCTTAAATCCTTCAGATGTATACCTACTACTTAAATCAGTCGAATTTTCAAGGGAATGTGTTATCTGTCTTTATCATACATATGAAATAGTATATTAATCTGTCCTCCTCACTGTAGGTACTTGCAATTTTATCAGTAAGTTTTATCGTTATGCCAAAGTTCATTCAGTAAAGTTATTTTCACTAGTGTTACTTTGGGGGCCAGTTATCTTTCTATTTTATACAAGCAAGGCGATAAAATAGTCGTTTAAATAAAAGAAAAATGGCTTCAGTTGGTGTTGTAACCCGTGTATTACTAGGAAAGAATGCCGTCAACAAAGTGGCCGCTGTTAATACCGGTTTCGTCAAATTCTACAGCTCAGGTGCTTATGCAAATTTATTTTTCAGTCTTTATCTTAGTCTAATATTATGTAATAAACCTGAATCCACCTTTCAATGCACTTACTAACTACCTAGAAGCATTAAAAAAAATATAATCACCAAGAACCATGCTTATATTATTATAATTCTGTTTTCAAAGTTATCAAAACCACGAGGATGCCGGTTCTAGTACATGTAATATCAGCTTAGTTTTAAAGTGTTTAAAATAATGAGAAATATAAGAACTTAATCAGTTAAGAAAGTTATAGATACTAGCATGTAGATTTATTTACCATCAAATAGATGCTTGTTCATGTACCATTATAGAGATTATTGATACCATTAGACCTTATTGATATAAATATGATAATGACCTACTGCAGAGGCTCATGCCACTGTAAGTGCACACGAAAAAGGTTTTACCACCAAAAATAGTAAAAAAGTTATGTTGGTACAAAACTTTTTATTTTATTAAAAGTTTTAAACCAACATAACTTTGAATGAAAAATTTTCAGAGTGGTTAACATAGTTATTATTTATTTCTTGGATATGTTACCAATGTCATTATGTATTTTAGGCAAGAGTATAAATGCTTCTAAACTTGTAAATGTTCAATTGTAATGTAAAGCCACCTCTTGTATAGGGGAATCATTATTTAACAGTAAGGTTTCAGATAATTTAGATATTTTTTTTTTTATTATTTTAGTTATAGAGGAAACTTATCATGAAGGAATAACATTAAATAATTTAAGAGTGAAACTGGTTCCATACTATGCAAACTCAAGTCTTTAAAGGCGAATTTTATTTACTTAATCTGCATTCTATAATTTCATTGAATTAGTTATTGCTACAACAACTTATTTCTTGTCTCCTTCACAGCCCCAGCATATGAGAACATCAAAGTCGAGGTAGTGGGTTCCAAATCAAATGTAGGTCTCATCCAATTGAACCGCCCTAAGGCCCTGAATGCTCTATGTGGCCCTCTGTTTGTGGAGCTGGGACAAGCTGTAAGGAATTTCGACGCCAATGACAAGATTGCTGCCATTGTCATCACTGGTAAGTGGGATGTACGTTTGCATTTAAAAATACCAAGATTAAAACTGTTGTATTTTATCTTCTGATATGTTATGTAGTTTATTATTAAATAAAACACCTTGTTTTATTTACAAATGTAATGTATTCAAAGTACTGATATATTATTCTGTTGTCCATTTTCCAAAGTTCCTGCTTACATTGGCAAAAATCATATCTATTCCGTGTTCTTTTAGTCTGACTAAACCCACACACACAGTTTAAGGTCAACGAAGAGGATTCTTAGGTTCAAGGCATGATTTAAGTTTTAGCATAAAAGTCTTTTTCATGACCAATCTGAGAAAAACTACACTGCTGTAACTCCTGTACACCAGGATCAACAGCAATTACCCATGTACACAGTGAGTTATGACATTAGGTGAATCCCCTGTAAAGTTAAACTATCTTAGAATGGGCAACGAAATTAATCAAGTAAATTGGAGGAGTTGGAAATACAATAATAGCAAATAGTGATTATAAAATTATCAAAGTATCCCAATATAGATTAACGTATTAATCTAACACCAGACCTCAAGAAGTAGTAGTTACCCATGTCACAGAATAGATAACAGTACCAGAACAGAAGACTCACACTTACTTTGCAAAATGTTTAAAATAAATAGTGAATCTTGCTCCTACACAACAAAGTTCAAATCAGATTGCACAGCGCTAATTTACTTCTCATCTACTAGTTGTCTCTCTTTCTATTGCATATTATATATTCTGACGACTTAGAATGAAAATGTGGCTCACGTAAATTGGAATAACAAAACTTAACCCTTTATAAGTAGGTCCTCCTCTATTCTATTTACCCATCTATTGACCTACAGGCTGACTTGCCTTTCTATATCTTTAGTTATACTTTGGAAGTGTGAAGTTCAGAGTCTTATTGTAGCATATAATGTAATATGTTTTCATTCTAGCTCAGTAATATTTTCCATTACTTATTGTGTGTTAAGTGGCTAAAAACCATCGTGATTTCACGCCTGAGTATCGAACTGATGTTCGACTACAGGGGCGATGTGTGACCCCCCCGAAGCGTGGTGGTAACCCACTGAACAATGGGTCCCACTGCGAAGCTTCTTTGATGTACTGACCTAAGTGCGGAGTGGGCCAGGGGCGTGGCCTACCCATGTTAATAAATCGTCTTGTAACTTTATCGTTACCAAATGTACTTGCTCTGCTTAGAACTTAGGAGTCCTCACGCAGAAGCAAATAGTCAACGAATTATATATTTTTTTTATCTACTTATTTTCTAAACAATCATATATTACGTGACAAAGTTAGCATTGGCGTAGTAACACACCTACATTTATATTATTACTTACGTAACAAATATCATGTTATCATTATCTATCATATAAGTAGGTAATGATAAAACAGGTTTTTACTATTGATCATTTTATATCTTTAATATTAAATTCTTTATTGAATAAATAATCTTTGCCGCTTCTGTTTATATAATAACATGTAAATGACCTGATTGATGAAAGTCATATCCGAGGTCTCATTCGCTCGTGTATCACAACTATGTGGAGATCCGCAAAATTGACTATCTTTATTAACAGTATAATTATTATTCCGTTAAATCGCACAAGACATTTTTTATCACCTAGAGCAGAGTAAAAGCAAAAGCAAACATATTTACACACTAAAACACATATTCATGTGTGTCGAGAGACCTTACAAAATAAAAAACACCCAGACTAATGACAAGTTTATGGATTAAACAGATTTTTATCCCCTAAGGGAATCGTGCTTACAACACTGCACGGTTAAAGTTATACAAATATGAATTATGTATATATTTTTGAGGCAATATGTACAAAATTTTAGAATTTCACTGGCCGCTGAGCCAAAGGTCGTAAATTCCATTCCAAGTTCGCTCGACCACGTTCGTGTGTGCTATCTGCGTCTAGTTTATGTATGAAATTAAAAGCAGTATATGTTTATCAACAGTCTGGTGATCATAGTACAAGGCTCTGCCTAGTTTAGGATAGGGCCATGTGTGAGGTGAGGTGAGGTTATTATCATTTGATTCCAAATTGGTTCGTCCGATGAGACAAGATAATTCAAAGTATAAGATAAGATAATTCAAAGTACGCATTGTTGAGATGCTAACAGAGATCGACGAGAGATGAGACGAGACTAATTAACTGCTGACCCATGATCACCTTCTTGACTTTCTTTTTAAATGTAATTACATTCTTCAGATATTAAGTATGAAATATACTTAGAATATTTATAATTCTGTAGTAGACAACGTTGTTGGTTCTACATATATCTAAAACTTATCAGTACTATGAGTTCATAATATTAAGCAATTTATATAATTGTTTGTTGAAACACATAAAAAAGTGAGATCAAAAAATGCTGCCCTCAATTGCCTAAGTATAATTAATAATGTTCCTTCCTAAAGGTAATGAGAAGGCCTTTGCTGCCGGCGCTGACATTAAAGAAATGCAGAACAACAATTACAGCAGCAATGTAAAGAATGGCTTCCTCAAGGACTGGGAAGACGTATCCAACTGTGGCAAACCTATTATTGCTGCTGTCAATGGCTTTGCTGTAAGTTGAATATCCTAACTAAGAGATCTTTCTACATCACCCCAAGGTTGATTTGAAGAGAAGGCCATGGGCATTACGGGTGCCTATGTATGTAAAGATTATAAATGAATAATTAAACTAGCTTTTGCCGACGCCTTTGCTCGTGTTTAAGTTGTATTATTTTTTAAATTAAATTCAGCTTAGTAAAATAAGGATGTCAAATTGTCACAAATTCACTGTATAATAAATAATAACTCTTTGAAATTAGAGTATTGAGTATGTAGTGTTTGGCAACATTTTATAATTTTTTAGAGGTGTCGTCACATCCTCTTAATATTCTGAATTTGAGTCTAAATTCTGATCAATAATTATTTGCTGTAGTAAACTAACCTATACAGCATGTTATAAAATATTGTTTATTGTATAAAAACAAAATATAAAGGAAATAAAAAAACACTAAATACATTGCATGTATGTATAAAATAGTATGTAATTTAGCTACTTACTAATGGCGGGACTTTAAATTAACTTTTCTTATTTCCAATCTTTTAGCTTGGCGGTGGATGCGAACTTGCCATGCTCTGTGATATCATCTACGCCGGTGAAAAGGCCAAGTTCGGTCAGCCAGAGATCAACATTGGCACCATTCCCGGAGCCGGTGGCACCCAGCGCCTGCCCCGCTACGTCGGCAAGTCGAAGGCCATGGAGATCGTACTCACTGGTAACTTCATTGATGCCAATGAAGCTGAAAAAATGGGTAAGTGGAAAACAAACTACACAATAATTTATCATTATTTTCTTCCGTCTCTAGCAGTCTCTAAAGAAGGAAGTGGTTGTTTTTTTAAAAACTGCACGGATGGTGTAGTGGTTTAAGTGGTTATCTCGCCACTTCCTACTGCGCTGAGTGATGTGGATTTGATCCCCACATGGGACAACGCTTTGTGTGTTGTCCACAGATTGTTGTTCTGGGTCTTCTCTGTCTCTCTTTCATGTATGTCTGTAAAGTCCCCCGCGATACTGAATATATTCCTAGCGCAGGACGCGTCTTAAAAAACATTGAGCTCTTTTGATATTCTTTTAACCCTAATATATTATGTTTTGCTTTTTCTTCCATTTGGAGTTTAATAATTTTGTTGACCATATTTACCAGGTCTCGTGAGCCGCGTATTCCCAGTAGAGAAACTTCTCGAAGAAACCATCAAACTAGCAGAAAGGATCGGCACGCACTCCCCACTCATCGTGAAATTGGCTAAACAGGCCGTTAACCAAGCATATGAGACCACTCTGAAGTCTGGATTACAGTTTGAGAAGTCACTCTTCTACGGCACTTTCGCTACGGTATGTTGCTATGTACACATGGGTAACTCAGCTTTCATCAACTTCTGCAACTCCAGCTCAGATTAACAACCTTGCTTTTGAGTTAATACAAAACTAAGCCATGGTGCATTAAAAAGAAATGTGCCGAATGGTAGAAAAAAAAGAGTCTTGCAACACTGCAAATAAGTTCAGAGTGTCTCTCATAGTGGGTCACTACGAGAGACGCTCTGAACAGATTGTGAGAAATTGAATTATTTAGTTCTCACATTTGAGGGATGCAGCGTAATGTTACCCATGTCTATGGCTTTCCTGTTATAACTTTTTTAAACATACTTCTAAAAGATACTTCTTACAAATACAAAATTTTCTAAATACTATTTTTTTGTGAGTAGTTGCAAAATGTTGCAATAGTATGTTTATCCTAAACATACTATTGCAACATTTTGTACATGTCCTTGACGCAAAGAGTAGCGAAATGGCTTGTTAATGCTTGTGTTAGAAGTGAACACAAGCATTTAGTCACATTGCTATGACTAATAAGTAATTTAAAAAAAACATTCATGTTATCTATAACTGCTACTACATGTTACCAGTAATTGTAATCTTTCTGATGATAGTGGTCCATGGTGGCCCATAGAGTTGTTTAACTTAAAATATTGATACTGAAGATTTAAGATTTTTTATTCCAATTTATTAGCTAGCCATACACGCACAGATCTGCCTGCCGGATCTGTCCGACAGGCAGATCCGTGATTCGCCACACACGAGTAAGGGCAGCAGTTCAGATCGTAATGCTAGCAAATACGGTCGTCTGTAAAAACTAGTCTTTTTAAACTAGTGTAGAAGCAATGGGAAAGCTTCTTTCCTTCTTTAATCGTGTCCTACTCTAATTATCTGTGGCGCTATTTTTAAATTTTCCACCCACTTGCTATTGTGGCGCCATCTTAATTTGCTGCCTTTCATCGGACACTTTTTAATATATGAGATTGTTCTCCTTACCTCTACCCTCCATACTTGGAGTGTTAGAGCGCGACTGACGTCAAATCTGGCGGGTACATCCGTCGCTACGCACACACGCACAGTTGGGAGCTCGGATCTACCCGCCCCGTGCCCGATCCGCTCGATTTGACCACGGGCAGCGGGCAGGCACCGGGCGTGCAAATCCGTGTCCGTTCTCACCATACACGCACGGATCTGTCCGCCAGGCACGTCTGTCGGACAGATCCGGCGGGCAGATCTGTGCGTGTATGGCTAGCTATTGATTTAATTGATAACAGGACTAAAACATTTTAATTATAGTACCTACTTTATTCGCTAACATCACACAAAATATTAACCAATTTATTTTTTTAATAGGAGGACCGCAAAGAGGGCATGACTGCATTCGTGGAGAAGAGACCCCCAGCCTTCAAAAATGAATAATTTTTCTACTTATTTATATACAAAATCAAGTTTTTTATACTCTTGTTAAGTGAAAATGCAATCTACATATTATATTTGGAAATCTTCCTTTGTTATCCGATTTTATATATTTACAATATAAGGATATGTTTTTTAAGATTTTTGTATTATTAAACCTCCTTCAAGGATTACTCTCATAAATTAAAATAGTTATTTAATATTTGAGACGTGGACACTCACCATTGGACTGGTCCACAAGTTTAAAGTCACGCAGCGTGCAAAGGAGCGTGCGATGCTGGGTGTTTCTCTAGTCAATAATAAAATAGTCTAGTCATTCGACAGAGAACTAGAGTAACCGACATCGCACAGAGAATCCGTGCGCTGAAGTGACTTCCACTTCAGCGCACGGGCCGGTCATGTCTCCAAGCGCACTGATAACCGCTGGTGCGGACATGTGCTAGAGAGGAGACTGCGGCACGATGGACGGACGACTTGAGGAAAATGGCTAGCAGCGGATGGATACGGAATGCCCAAGACCGAAATGGTTGGCACTCATTGGGGTAGGCCAACATTCAGATTCAGATGATGATATAATATTTGATTTAAAATATGTGTACGATAGTAATGGATGGACTGTATCGACGTGGCGGTTAGTTATCGACACGACGATGGTACTTAAGCCTCATCAACAGCCTTTAGCAGTCCACTGCTGGACATAGGCCTCTCCTTAGAAAGGAGGTTTTAGCCTACTATACCACGCTGGCCAAACGGGTTGGTATAGGGTTTGTTTCAAGTTTTCCTTCTCTTTGCAGTGCTGTTGTTCTGCGTAGTATTCTATAAAGTAAAAGCATAGCTTTAATATGGGTAAGATTGTTTAAAGGAGATGGGTTAGATAATATACAGTCGGCAGATTTGTTATAATAATGAATGTGCCTTCACACAATAGCCGCATGATTCTTCGTTCTTTTTATTTCTGAAAGATTAAAGTATGTTTGTATTTGTCATTAATAAAATCACAAATACAAGCATATTCAAATCTTTCTCGAAAAACACGTGACCTGACGACACGGATAAAATAAAAATCCGATTTGTTCAAATAATATTTTAAATGAAGATTTTTGAGTTGCGAATAATAATCCGGAGGCAAAAAGAATCAGTTAGTTATAAGTTATAACTACAAGAATAATTACTATAAAAACAGTTTTTTAGGACTGCTTCAATAATGATGAGCTATATTTTTGTGATGTGAGGGAGCGAAAGACCATCTTTCGCCCCAAGCCAACCTCACCTGCCCGCGGTGCATCCTGCTGAACGACGAACGAGGCTCTGGCGACCGACCGATGGTGGTATATCCATCCCAATAGGCGTAGCTCAATACAACAGGCCGGGGACGATCAGCAGCGTCACCGGTGCGACAACCTACGCTCTGCGATCGCCAACCCGCCTGCCGAGCGTGACGATTATGGGCAAATCCAAATGCAGATGCAACAAGGGTCACGACCCCTAGTTCCCGGCGGCCCCGCTATTCCTGACCATGGTGACGACCACGGTAACGGTGGGGCAGGGGTGCAAAAAATCTCCGGGCTACGGGCGGTCACCACAACCGACTAGCCCTGGCTACGTACAACGGACGCACGCTACGGCTAAACTCGCATCTGGCGCAACTTGAGGTGGAACTTGGGCAGATTAGGTGGCATGTCCTAGAGCTATGTGAAGTCCAAAGAGAGCGGGAGGACACCATAACCCTCGAGTCCTGCCACCTAATGTACTTCCGCGAGGGAGACCAACAATCCCAATCCCGGCGTTGGGTTTCTGGTAAATAAGTCCCTTTCTGACAAAGTTGTGAAAATTTCCAGTATGTCGAACAGGGTAGCGTACCTCATTATCAAGCTCATCGAGAGGTATAGCCTCAAGGTTGTGCAAGTGTACGTACCGACCTCGGCACACTCGGGCGACGAGGCGGAGGATATGTTAGATAACATATCGAGGGCCCTCTACTTTACAACTAAGACCCACTACAACGTTATGGGTGACTTCAACGCTAAAGTGGGAGTACAGAATTGTGGCCAATCGATAGTGGATTTGAAGGCAGGAATCATAGGGGGCAAATGCTAGTCAACTTTCTAGAACCGGAGGGGCTCTTCTTAATGGACTTTTTCTTCAAGAAACAGACCTAAAAGAAGTGGACGTGGCAAAGCCCCGACGCTATGACCAGAAATGAGATCGATTTCATCAAGACGTATAGGAACCACATATTCAGAGACGTCTCAGTAATCAATAGGTTTAATACCGGTAATGATCACCGAGGCTTGTCCTCGAAAATGTGGTTCGAATCCTCAGCGAAGAAGGTACGAGACTTTATGAAATGCAGCGTAAGGGCAGTAAGTTTCAGAAGAGACATAAGGGCTAATGAAGAATCGAAGTGAAAACCCACTTGTCACTTTGTCGGCAAAACGAACTCTAAACCAAGAGATCAGTAAGCTAGTACGACACGACCTCCGGTGCTCCAATACTCTTTCAATTGAAAGCGATGAAGCAGAATCGGGGGTCAAAAGTGTTCGTACAATCTCTTGGAAGAAGCCACCTGACGAAGCTGCCCACAGCAAGTGGAGAAGTCGTTGCTTCGAAGCCGGCAGTCTTTTCGTCTTTTCTTCTATAAGTGATGAAATGTCTCTAGGAATCCGCTACCATGTTCGTCCAAGTACAGAATCGGCAAACAAGGCCCATACCGTTGCATCGAGGAGTGTGACAAGGGGACGTTATTACCCCGAAATTGTTCACAAATGCAATGGAGGACATGTTCAGGACGCTGCACTGGAAAGGGCGTTTTTTCAATATCAATGGCGAATACATCTCTCACTTGCGATTTGCAGACGACATCGTCATCATGGCAGAGACGCTGCAGGACCTACAACAGATGCTAAATGACCTAGCTGACTTTTCTATACGCATCGGTCTGCGGATGAACTTGGATAAAACCAAGGTCATGTTCAATGAACATGTACTACCGGAATCGATTTCCCTACACGGAGCCGTTCTCGAAGTTGTACAAAATTATGTGCACCTCAGGCAGACATTGCAGTTAGGGAGAAAAAACTTATGGATGAGGTAAACAGAAGAATTCAGTTGGGCAGCATTTGAGAAGCTACGTCGACTCTTCTCATCGTCTATCCCACAGTGCCTTAAGACGAAAGTCTTCAATGAGTGCGTCCTACTTGTCATAACATGCGGAGCCGACACGTTTACACTTGCGGTACGGCTGGTCCACAAGTTCAAAGTCGCGCAAAGTGCTATGGAAGGGGAATATGCTGCGCGTTTCTCTAAGGGATTGCATCAGGAATGAGGTGATCCGGCAGAGAAATAAGATCACCGACATAGACTACCGGATTAGCCAGAGTGGAGACCGCATCTCGGCTAATTGTAGGACGCCCACAGGTCAAGTGGAGTGACGATTTGCGCAAGATGGCTGGCAGGAGCTGGATGCTAGAAGCCCAAAATCGATCTAAGTAACGTGCAATGGGAGAGGCCTATGTCCAGCAGTGAACTGTGATATGCTGATGACGATGATGATATTTTTGCAGTTGTTTTTTTTTTCTAAGGGAATTTGAGTCAACTCATTTTTGTCGAAGTCAACTTTAAAATTAATTTCTAGGCCCGGGTGCTCGTTCAAAGCGACGCGTGTCGAATGCTATGTACGGTAAGCGCTGGCTTCTCAGAAACGTCGCCGGCGGCGGACTGTGCGAGCGGACAAGGTTGCATACCGCACTCGTCGGTTGGTACTATAGATGTAAAACAACCGATTTAAAACGTTTTGAATACATTTTTGCCGTTTTAAACCCCAAATATTAATTATTTTTATAATAATTATTGCATTTTTAATTACACGTGTAGAAGTGTAAAGACCCGTAGTCAAAACTTTAATCATTAAATGACACAAAATATGTCAGAGTAAAATGCGGCAAAATTAGATAGACCATGTATTAACAGGTGTTTGTAAGATTAATACCACAACACACTGCACACTACTATTTTATTAGTGACATTTTAACTTGTACGAGTTATTTGTTATGGCGACATGAAGTTTGTAAACGAAAAAAATAATAAATTGTAATGATTTACATTTTGTAGTCTACTAATTAGGTATGCGAAAAGAACTCTGTTAGTCTTCCAATTGGTTTGTAGAGAAGTGTTTTTTTGTGTTTAAATTAGTTTAAGAGACATTTTCCATGTTTTGGGATCATGTGTATCGTAATAAGCAAATCATGCAGGAATTTGAAGACATAGAAATACATAAAACTAGTGTATCAGTGTTTGTGGCACTATTTTATTTAGAAATGTTGTATATTTTAATAATGACGTTGTCTATCCTTAATAGATTGAATTACTTCTGACCATTAATAAATCTGAATACATCGTCATATAAAAATAAATATTTTCGTAAGTACTCTTGTTCATTACCAAAGAATGGTATACCTAACTTACTATTGAGAGTTTACTCTAATATTTTTCGACTCAAATAATAAACAATAATTAAAATGCATGACAAAAATGAGTCTGATTGTAGAATACTATCACATGTGTGGTTGTGATTAGGTCGTTTGTACACTAAAGGTGTGGGGAATTTTAGTTTTGAGCACACATTAATCACAAGCAGCATTTCCTTTAATTAATGAAGATTTAATAAGATTGACACAATGATGCAAAGCTAAGGAATTTAATCTTTAAAAACAGTTATCACACTAACACATTATAAACACATAATTTTGAAACTTCCCTTGAATTTTGGAATTAATACTGTAATTTAATATAAGGAGTAACAGATCAAAGCTTATTAACTCTGTCTAATTTGATTACTTGTACTTAAGATTTGATTGTTTAATATAATTTGAATGTATGTAGATTGTAATTTTATTTGCCGATTTAACTAAGCCAGAGGTTGAGGGTTTGATCATTTTATCTATGCCTGAGTGTAGCTTATCTATGATATGTATGTATTTAGACATATATAAGTACTAGCTGACCTGACAAACATTGTCCTGTCTTAACTATGAATATTGAATTCGCATTGGTATAATTAATTACATTAGCATCATCATCAGCCTATAGCAGTCCACTGCTGAGCATAGGCCTCTACAATTAATTTAAAAAAAAAATTACACTAAAACATAGTGTTTATTTTAATGCTTTGATTAACAACATTTTTTCTTTTTTTTTCTGGCGCCTATATGAACAAGTTTTTTAAATGTTCTAGAATTTAGCGCCATTATCTCATATTAATCTTTCATAAGAATCTTCTCCAGACAATGACAAACAACAAAAAAGAATTAGCAAAATTTGTCCAGCCGTTCAGTCACGTGTGATGCTGTGACCAAGGGAAATAGTGATTCTTTTTTATATATAAGTATGAAAGAAAGAAACATTTATTTGCACAGAATACAGGTGGTACCAGATTTTACAAAGGTGTATAATGTTCAAGCTATATTCTGCCTGTACTAGGCATGCAAGTATTTATATAGAAGTATTTATATAGATGTTTATTTAGAAATGTATATTTGGCTGGTTCATGGCAATAGGTTTGCCCCCTGTTAAGTAAATGGGTTTGGAATTATAGTAGGTAAGATAAAGGATAAAAGATGTGGTGTATGTATGTATGTCTCAATAACAATATGGATTCTAGTGATATGTGGATATCACTAGCCCTGCTGTTAGTTATGTGGTTTAAATAATATATGTAGCTTGCAAATTATGTGTGTGTAGTTTACCTCTATTAATAATACCTACCTCAGATATGATCATCACAAAAATAATAAAATAAAATTAACAAAATGAATTTCATTTTATTGCAAGTGCTTTTTGGTTCAAACCAACCATTCCCAGTTGTTAGTGTGGTGATAGAAAATGTGAATAAAATAGTTTCTAATTTCAGCTAGAGCTGTGCAAAATGATCAGAAATGTGGATGGTACCGAGAGGCTGTATCTTTCAAAGAAATCAGATGAAACTATTTCCATAGACAACTGTAAAATACCACAACATCATCTTGACGGTCTTAGATTTCTCTTTAGCCAGTATAAGAAGGTATGTATACCATTAACATATAGAAAGAACCGTGAAATATGAAAGATTTAAAATCTAATCTTGGAAATTGTTTTGAAATATCTTGAGTCTGCAAAGTGCTTGATAGATTTTAGGACATTACACAATTGCAATTATTTGATTTGGTAGGACCCATAAAATGTAAAATGCGAAAGCCATAAGCTGTGGGATAGCCGAAAGATTAGATGTTTATCTATAAGGGCTGGTAAAGTATCATAATACATTTCAGAAAAAACCAGGTGTTATAATAAATGAAACAACAGGATTTAACCGGAATCTCCAGATAGTACTATTTGTGAAAGCTATGTGCCACATATTCAAGCAGCCTGTGTTGGTGCTGTGTCAGGAAGGTGCTGAGCATGGCTGGATGGAGCAGTTTCAGACATGGACGGACTTGTGTGACGGTGAGAAAACGATCGTAATTAATCCCTTTTGTTATTTTATAACCATTTTTGGAACGAAGTCCTTATCGCACGTTGTGAAAGGGGGCTAGACGGAAAAATTCTCACGAAAAGTTGTAACGACACTTTTTATGTCAGTCATTCAGCGCCATCTATCGAATAGATAGGAAATCATTTCTCAAGGAGATTTTACCAATGTATAAATTGTTTTAATTAGAAACCAACTGAAAAATATGTAGGTAATAGCCGCTTTCATAGATGGCGTTGTAATTAAAATCGTGTCGAATCAGTTTTACTCGATCGTCACAACTTCGTTCCTATCGGGTGTCCCACGACACCACACGGCTTTTTTTCGTCCGTTTCAAAGCTCTGTGTTGTTGGAAATAAATTAATGGAGTCACCTCAACTCCAACTTGTGACTTCTTTATGCTTACACACGAACTCAGATAGTGACCTTGGTCACCCAAGATAATTAGCCCCCGCTATTTACGGCAGACCTCGCAGCAGCTCGCGGAAGTTTCCATGCGTAAAATATTGTATAATTGTGGGCTCTTATATGAACCTTGGTTTTGGATATCACCATATGCAGTCACTTTTCAACTCCGTAACCAGTAATAAGATTTACCGTTACTACTACTGACTAGATAAAATAAATGTTATGAGTAGAATAATTATCATACTGAAAACTGATTTTATGAATTACAGACGTAGTGCTAGAAACGCGGAAGCCACATATAAAGAAGCAAGTGCTGATTAATACTATGGCTAATCTACCCTCCTTCTGTAACCGTAACTGGAGTGTTCTCATCGTAGATTCGCCAGAAACCGATAAAGCAACGCTGCAGGTACTTGAGCGCTTCAGAGCAGATTACAAAATTTGGATCACACCAATCAATATAAGAGTGAGTTTTAAATACATCTCAAAATTTGTCATCACTCAATCTACCAAAGCCTGCTTTCATCCTACATCACAAAAATACCCATTGCCATCTAATGACGACAAGCTGAACTACTTCGTAACGACTCATTCTGTATTACGGTATGAATGTTTTCACACTGGTTATTTAATTGGTATCAAAGTTCAAGACGCTTTTCTAATAGGTTTATGAATTGTTTCTATTATAGCTAAAGATATCACAACGTTAACCCTTTAGGTGCTCAAAAACAATAACAAATAATTATTTATTATCATCATCATCATCAGTGTTATAATTTTTTCATACAATTCTTGATTCTGCAGAAAATAAGATCATCTCCAGAAGTCCTATCTTCATTAAACATCAATAAATTAATAACAATTATTCTCAACTATTTTAGGAAAATTTAGATCATTTTTCAATAATATATAAATGGCTTTATCCAAAGGAGAAGTTTGATAAAAATAAATTCATTCCAAACACAAACAATTTAAACGAAGTTGTAGATAAGGCCATATTATTGGATGCTTTTATGGAAGATATAGTCGCTGGAAATGAAGAGGATGCTGTTAAGGTAAATACAGATTATGTATAATAAATATTGAATTTGGATAATATTCTTGAAATAGCTCTGTACCCAAGACACTATATTTATATAATAATAATAATATTTTCGGACATCTGACACACAACGCCATCTAGTTTCAAACTAAGCAGAGTTTGAACTATGAAAAAGCTAGATTGACTGATAGAATACTTATATATTCTATTCTATATTTACCGAAAGAAAATTGCGCCGGCTCGACCGGAGTATACCACGGCCTCACAGAAAACCGGTGTTAAGTAATTCATTGCTTTTCACCAAGTGAGTGAGGTTACCAGAGCCTAAAACCTCCTCCTGACTCTAGGAGGAGGGATTCAAAGGAGCGCAACGCACTTATGACTCTTCAGTTACAGGTGTCCAATGGCGGCGGTAGTTACTTACCATCAGGTGATCAGTCTCCTCGTTTACCCCCTTATACCATAAAAAATCCAAGAAGTTTAGAATCCACTACAGATTATTAAATTATATTAATATCAAGTCAATCAATTCAAAAAATCATAAAACCGATGTTCAAAAGAAGTTTAATATTAAGTTTTTTTAGGATAAACAAAACGACGAATGTCCTAGGAAAATAATATCATTAAAAAATAAAGATGCAACTGGAACCAAGATCAAGCGGTCGAAAAGAAAAAATTATGATGAAGATGACAATAAAATTAACAATATAGCATCCAACGAAATCACAATACTTAAAGACGAGGAATATGATGAAGATTTTAGCATAGATAATTTCAAAAGAAAAAGAAAAGAATTTCATAAAAATGAAATAAATGATACAGAAGAATCAGATACAGGTATTAAAATGAACACATTGAATAGTCAGAGTCAAGTTCATTTATTTTACGAGCCGGATTCGCCAACTGATATTAATAATGATAGTGATAAACTATATGAATTGGATACTATAGTTTTCGGTAATGATACGTGTGATGAACGAAGTGTAAATATTAATGAAACGGTGAATGAAATTATTGAGGCTACCAAAGATAGCTATCTAGGACCAAAAGAGGATGCTAATGTAAATGCAGATGATGAAACTCCAAGTGATTGTGATGGAGAAACCCGAGAAGGAGATAAATTATGTATAAGGAATAATGAGATATCTACGAAATTGCCGTCTACTATTCAAATAGAATCAGAAAATAATGAAATTAATAAAGAAAATGATAATCATGATGATGAATTAGAACCAAAGGATGAAGTTTATTTAGAAACGAAATCGCCCAATCAGACAAAACCACTTCAGATTTGTGATGAATTAAAGCCTAGTGGTAACAAAATATTTATGTCAGATGAAGTACAGATAGAATCTAATTGTAATAAAATGAACGATGATAAGAGTTTGGTCCCAAATGAGAGGGCTGGTCCAGACTCAAATGCACTAAAACATAAGTGCATTGACGATAAATTAAAAGAATTAGAAGAGAAAGTGATGAAGAGATTTAAAGGCTCCATACTAGATAGCTTAATATAATGTATATGAGACCAGGTTAAGGTAAGAAGTATCTTTCCACTTACTTTAGGTGCCAAAGACTTCTGTTTGAACCAGTAGGACTAATAGATTTTATAAAGCTGTCGCAGAAAGCTGTAGTCGTATATTTGGATTATTAATTAAGTATTCTATTCTGAAGAATTATTACACATTATGACAAAATCAATTGTAAACCTCACTATAATTCCACAAATTAGCTAGAGGTGGAGGAGGTAAAATTTCAAAACGTAGCTCTTTTTTTTGTAACCGACATCGTCCTGCTATAAAGCAAAGCACAGCGAATTTCACCAATTATCAAATGCATCTCTAAGACTAATATACAGTCAAGACGTTTTATTCCTTATTACCTATGCATGTTGAACCGTTTACACAAAAACGTCCCAGGGGGTCAGCGGTTTCGCTGACGTAGGGAAGCCACAGATTTATTATCCAGTGCTGCTTCTTAGCGGCTACGTACGTTTTAGTTACAAAGTGTAGATTATAAGCTTTACCAATGGAGATGGTGATGCACGGTGGCATTTAATTCATAACTTCTAAATTTACTTTATATGGAGATCGTGTATGAGGTGCGCTAATCGGTCTTGTTCTGATGTAAAAAAATACTCATTGTTTAATATGTAGGTGTATCAATTTATATAATTATTAATAATGTAAATGTCAATTTTAATAATTTGTATATTTTTTTAGTATGTAACATCATTCCTCTCACTTTCTGCAATCTGTGGGAGTGATTGTGTGAAAAGGGGACGGAAATGTGTAACAGGAAGCGCCTAATAAGCCAGATATTAATGAATATGAAATGTATGCGACTACTACATGAAAAATTAAGAATATACGCCTCTTACACGATCTTTAAATATGACTATGTCTATCGGTAACTGGATGTTGCATATGTTTTTCTTTTAGTTAAAATACATAAAACCTAACTTCTACTAAGGCCAATCGTGAAACTAATAAGTTTGTAAGTTAATGTGTTTAGGAATATTCTAAACTCTTCTTTAACAGTAGTTATTTTTTTGCTACCTGGGTGATGTGGAGTAATACTATAGGGGTTATGGTTCTTTAATCGAACGGGTTTAAACAGCTCTTCAGCTCCAAAATTTTAAATGAAATAAGGTTAATCGACTTATTTTTACTAGGAATTTTTATACCACAACAAGAATTAGACATTATATGAAATAAATGTTTATAAAGCTTTCCATCCTGTTTCATTTAATGTCTCCACACATAAAACTGCATGAAGATAAAATTTGGCAGTCATGCTTCTGCTGAATTGGGCCGGCTCGACCGGAGTACCACAGCCTTACAGAAAACGGTGTAAAATTAGTTCTTTCATTGTTTTGCACCGAGTGAGTGAGGTTGTCCGGAATAATTAATAATAATATAACGAAAATACTTAATACTTAATACTTACTTATACTCCTTTAACTTTAAAATTAACTATTGTGGGTAAAATAAAACAAACAAAAATAACATCAACGTTTATATTTCACATTTAGATAATATCATTTTTAATAAAATTTGTGTCCAATTGTATCACAATAACTTTTAAATTCTGGAATAATATTTAAAATGTAGAAGCATAAATATGTGTATAATAAATATAAATATTTCATGAAAAAAATGATTTAAATTCAGTAGAAATAAGGAACTTTTTTTTTTTTAATTAAATGAAAATATACTCGTGTATTTTTTGCAATGTTGCTAGCTCCAAACTATAAAATAGGTCTTCCTTATAGGTACGGTAGTACACTTCACTTAAACGTAAAAAAAACACAAATTTTGCTAGTTTTTACAAGTCTTCAGGTGATGATCGATTTCGATTTATTATGAACTAAAGTGCCTACCTACTATAGTTAAACCGCCGTAAGCTTGGCCCTCCTGATGGTTTGGGGGACGCGGGGCGGGGATGTATTCAACCAATTAGCTAGTGCGTCGCTGTCCGCCGGCAGTGACTGACGTGAAAGCAGGCTGTACGTGTTATTTTTCTTAAGACTGCTACACACGGTATTATTTTGCAACATGGATAATCTGCCGACACTGCGTCACAAAAAGATTTAAAAACTTGAGGTTCGGCTTACAGAGGTTCTACTGTTAAAGTTCTAATAAAGAATATTTATTATTTTACTTAATTTTTAAATTGTATCTGAATATAATTTACATGATGAAGAAAAGGTGATTTTATTACAATTATTTTACAGTATTAAATTTTACAATTAATCATAAGAACTTACAATACACTGACATTATAATACATGGAAATAACTTCGATTTTTATTACATCGTGTGTAGATTAAATCTCAAACAAATAAATCTGAAGATATCCAGTTAGTACATCGTGTCATGTATAGCCGAGCGCATCACCCGCCCCGCGTCCCGCAAACCATCAGGAGGGCCAAGCTTACGGCGGTTTAACTATATATAATGCTGCTCCCAGATAATTTAACTAATACATGAACTAAAAGAAAACCTCCGTTGCATTGTTTCTTTTATATAGACTGCTACAAGAAAATATTTAAATCATTTAGAAATGCAATTCATTGCAGGCAATATAACTGCTGACAGTAAAATAACAGTTTTAATTGGCCCTGGCTGAGATTGGCAGTAAAGAAAAATAAATTAGCTTATTGCCAATGTGATTGCATCAAAATCATTTTGTTTTGCATATTACAAGGAACTTCTTAGTAAAATATATTAAGTGGCCAATTATTAACTGTGCATGCAAGCTTCTAATTCGCTAATACGTTAATTACAAGAAATGTGTCATTTTATATAAGTAACTGATGTTTTATACAACGATTTTATTACTTCTAAGTATAATATTTTTAACATACATCGTAAACGATTGTACTTTAGCAGTTAAGTGTACCTATATTTTTACGTCAAATAGAACATTTATAAAACTGAAATCATTTACAATAAATAGCTTACTTGGCCGCAGTACGCATATTATTATTTGGAATAACATTGTAATTTGTATCTTATAGAAAGTTAAAAGAATGAAAAAGATTCTGAATAATATAATATACAAAAATTCATTACATCTGATGAGCCCTCATGTTGATCAATTAAGAATAAAATTAAATTTTACGTACATACATAAAATTTTCACAACACGGTAACCAAGCAACCGTAATATGAATATATTTTAAGTACGTTTTATTAGGAAGGCGATAAACTATTTAACAACATTAGCAAAGTTATACTTAGCTTATATTCACTACCTACCAAGATACAGTATATATATCCACATATAATAAATACTATGAAATTAAGATGTTTCCTATGTAAGTTATTTACACAACCAACTTAGGAACGCTTTTAGGTTAAGACTTTTGGCAAATATATCAAGTGGTGACCTTTGTCACTGCTCTGTTCTGAGCTTTTTAAAAAGTAAAAATATTTTTTACATACCTCGGCAAAATTGTTGTTTTTTTTTTTGTTATGAAAAGCAGTCAATGTCCTTTTACTGTATTCATTGCAAGTTCTATGCAGTGATGGACGGATAAACGGTAGGTACCGCATTGCTTTATACCAACTAGCAAACATTGATTTCGGTAGATAAAAACTGCAATCCTTACTACTTAGCTGGTGTTCGTTTTCTGCTATTTAATTTAAAATACATGAAGAAAGAAAATAATAATTCTTCTCTACTATGTAACCTAGTATTAAAGAATAATTTTAGTATTCCTCTTAGCTTCTACAAAAAGAATAAACAACGACTAAGAGCAGTAACAAAAATTAAAATAGGTAATTTTAATCGCATTACACTTTGTATAAAAACAATTCTTGCTGGTTTTTTTTCATGGATTTACGTAACGATTATGAAATGCGTTTTATGAATTATAAAGTTCGGCTTTTCAACACTCGTTATTACTCGTTCAATATTACCTAAGGAAATGATTTATTTCCTCTGATGTAACGTAGTAGTAACCTAGAATATAGGTTATTTAGCTTATTGCGTTTAATCAAATGCTTGTTTTTTGATAAATCGCCTGGAATAAATTTTTTTTACTATACAAAGATCGTTCTTTATCAGACACAGAATGCAAAAGAGCGGGAATTGCCTTTGGGCATCCCATTCCGCCGCAATTCTATTTCAATTTTTCATTTAAAATGTAAAAAATACAAAAAGTTTTAATGTTTCGTTTATTCTACCGGGGTATCTATAAATATTATAATTAATTTTAAAGTTAACTGTGTAAAGATTCAGGAAAATTTTGGCTAGACGTAGGCGTAACGAATCGTTGCTTCGTTCTATCTTAACTTTTTTATTTGATCTGAGAGTGAGAAGGTAAGCGGTAAATACAAACGTCTGGTAGTATGAATGTCACAAGTATAAATGACTGTGATTGTGAGAATAAGTTAATTATCACTGATATCATTGCATTGTCACCGATTACATTATCACTAACATCATTTCTCCATCGCGTAGGTACTTACATCAAATTAGTTAAGAATACAGGGAAGCTATAGTTAGTTACTGTTGTTCAACACTACATTATGTGAAATTGTTTTATAAGCAATTTCACACAGTTCGTTGCGAGTATTTTACCTAAGTAAGAATTATTACACATAACTATGATGTAATCGTTATTTTGATTAAATATTATATTATTTTTATATAAATATAGCTTATTCTGATTAAAAATGTTCACACACACAACAATAGATACATGAAATAATAATAAGTACCTTTACAATAAATGATCTAAGTATAATCATGGTATAAATATAACTAAACGGCTAGTTCGATTGCACCCAGGACATGGCGTGTGATTAGCACGATCATTTGTTTCATGTCTGGGTGTAATTTATCTATTATACGTATATATAGTTAGAAATATATTATGTGGTAGATGAGAGGAACTAGTAGATAAGATGTAGGTGTTTATTTCACCTCTGGTCATCCCCTTGGGGATAGAGACGAGTGAGTATGCATGTTTGTATAACAAAATTTAATTAATTGAATTTTGTGTTATACATTCGCAATTTCATTAATTCATTTGAAGTGGTCGACTGTCCAATATTTGAATTCATGATCATCATCAACAGCCTTTAATAATCCACTGCTAAACATAGGCCTCTCCTTAGAAAGGAGGTTTTGGCCTACTATACCACGCTGACCAGGCGTGTTGCTATAGGGTTTGCTTCGAGTTTTCCTTCGCTTTGCAGTGCTGTTGTCCTGCGTAGTTTGCTCCCTTGTGATGGGCGTGCATATAATAGGTGTGGTGACACTCCGTATTCTTAACCTTTCACCACACGGATAATCCAAAATATCCCATAATATAAAAGAATAAGAATTAAACATGGTTTTGTCTGCGGAATTCTTGGGAAAAACTCCCTAAGAACAGCAGAGTGAGTGTACCGACGAGTCTTACACCTGGACCGTGTTATTCTAATGTTATTCTATGTTCTAATCGAAAATTTAAGTATCAAAACTGATCTATGTTATTATCCTTATAGGAAAAACAATTTAATCACTACATTGAAAATGATTTTGTCAACAAATACGTAAATGATTTTGTCGTAATATGTAAATCTTGCTAGTTTTGAAAGGTTAATTGCCATTATTATTTTAACCGGTTTGTGAATCGAACCCATTCTTAACTGGTGTTGCACGTGATAATGGTCTACACAAATGAACTGACTAAACAATCATTGAATTGAACACGACCGATGTAGACAGATAAGTTAAGTACATTAAATTTTAAAGTATCGCGTTCCATATTATATGATTATCTTACGGTAATTAACAGCTCACGGTTGGTATTAAGTACATACCTTTGAATTGCCCGACGTTTCGAGCAGGTTGCACAGGCTGTGGTCACTGGCTGTCTGGTGATTCAGGTCGGCTGTGACCACAGCAAATTTTATAGTTAGGTACATTCTTCAAATGAAGGCGTTACTATAGCGCGAAATTCATTCTTCGGAGCAAGGTTCACTTTTTCTCAATTAAATTATAGGTACTTCTTAATCTAAGTTACAATTGTTATTGGTCAAGCGTAATATTTATTATTTAACTTTATTTTTAAAATTTTATATAATTTGAATCCTAGTTTTCTGTATAGTTTTTCTATATCCCCCCTTTCAATATTGGTGTGTATGATAGGTTGCAGGACAGTTTGCAGGGTGCTTGCCTGATACTAGGGCTTCACATGGAGGTACTCGGCGACGAAGACGCGAAAGATTTTGTTCAAGTTCTCGATAGTTTTGAATTCGAGCGCCGACATGTTATCTCCGGGTGTGTGCCACACGCTGGGAAATGGTGACGGAATGATATGTAAGATGTCCACGTCTGAAAAAAACATTTTGAATTAGGGACATCATTTAATTAATAATTTAAATATATAATATAATAATGGGAATAATTTAGACTCCAGTTTGAATACTCTAACGTTTAAAGAAAAAGCCAATTTAACAGTTGAACAGATTCAATTATAATAATAATATTTTTCGGACATTGACACACAGTGCCATCTAGTTTCAAACTAAGCAGAGCTTGTACTATAAAAGCTAGATTGACTGGTAGAATACTTTATACTTTTTTTTGTAAATACCTAAATGCCCTACATATTATACACAGAAAACACCAAAACTTCGTAACAAATATTTGCAGATAATATAAACATTTGGTCCGACTCAGGAATCGAACCCAAGACCTCAGCACGGCAGTCATATACGCTAGCACTGCACAACCAAGGCAGTCAATTGATATAGGTGTAAACGCTATCTAAATAGAATCACGTTAAAAAATCAAAATCGGTCCATATCTTATAGAGGTACCATGCAACAGACAGACACAGATACAAATTTTAATATCATAGCGCATGTCATTCCTGCGTGATCATCAACAACAGCCTCTGATGGTCCACTGTTGGACACAGGCCTCTGCTTAGAAAGGAGGTTTTGGCCTACACCAGGGACTTCCTTTCTAGGGTATACCTGGTTCCCCGGCTATAAGTACCCGAGACGGCGTGCGGTTTTAGTCGGTTCGAGTCCGACATGCCACCGGTAGGTGGTATCCGAGGGGATTTCCGCACGGAAAAAAAAAGGATATTTTGGCCTACTATAACTATCCTGCATCAAGGGTGTTAATAAAAAAAAAAAAAGATTTACAAAATAGGATATTGCTGCTTAGCATCTACGTCTTCTTTTGTACACAGAACAGTTTAGTTTCTAGATGTTCTTTTTACATCGTTGATATCATTTATGTAAAAAAAATGAAGTTAACGTAACAGTAGTAAACAAACTCGTATTTACATTTTTAATAATTCCAATTAGAATCGTAATCTCTGCACTTTTGTTTTTCCCAAATCGCAAAAATTATAGCAGATTAAAACGAACGGACAATTTGCTTAACCTTCAAATTCAAATCGTTTGTTGCGAATTTATGTTGGAACAGGCGGCAGGAAACAAACATTAGTACCATATACTCCAATATACATTTACCTACATGAAAAATATACTTTATCATCTTCAACAGCCTTTAAAAGTCCACTACTGGATATAGCAAAGATTTTGGCCAGATGGGTTGGTATAGGGTTTGTGTCGAGTTTTCCTTCTTTTTGCAATGCTGTTGTCCTGCGTAGTCTACTCCCTTAGTCGGCTGTTACGACACCCACGGGATGTATGAGGGTGGTGACACTCTGTATTCTGAATCCGTCACTACATGGATATATTATCATCATAAACAGCCTGTAATAGGCCAGTGCATGACATAAGCCTCTCCTTAGAAAGGAGCTTTTGGCCTTCGATATATACTTATTGCATTTAAATATTACAATAATAGCCGGTAATTTTTATTTCTAAACATTTATGTCAAAAGGAAATAAAATGATATAATTAGTATTGTGAATGATTAGCGCTAGTATAGCTACTAGAAGTATTTTAAAGCTGAAGTTTGTTTTGTTGTTTGAACGCGTTTATCTCAGGAACTGCTGGTTCAAATTGAAAGGTTCTTTTAGTGTTGGATGGTCCATTTATCGAGGAAAGGCTGTATAACATCACGCTGCGACCAATACGAGCCGTGTATACATTAAAAATGTTGCAAAAACGGGAAAAAACTATGTAATGAAAGTGCACAAATTACGCCAAAAAAGAAAGAAAAAAAAAAGTGTTATTCTAAAATGCATTCATATTTTGTGCAAGCAGTAGGAATATAACGTATCTTCCTCAAAATATCATTGGATAATAAGTATTAAGTTTGTTTACAAAAAACTTTTGTCACTCAATCATTAGTACAGTGAATAGTTAGTACTAGTATATTAAAATACAAGTCTACAATGTTCTCTCAATGTCGACACTAGGTACCTTCACATTAACTTCGAAAGGCTGTAGACACTTTGTCTAGTTATAACTCTGTCGTGATTTAAATACCGAAGGTCATGCACTATGATCTGCGTTCGTAACAGAATCGTTTGAGTGACTGATCAATTTATGTTACGTGTTAATAATTTAGATTAACTATATAACCGTCAAGGTTTTATGCATATTTAATAGTCTGCTGCAGACTTTGTCACTTAATTCTTCATCAGATATTGGAACGAAGTTCCTTATCGCGCGTTGTGAAAGGGGGCTAGACGGAAAAAATTCTTACGAAAATTGGTCACGACACTTTTAATATAAATTGACGTCTAACTGTGGATACCATACATTAAATTTGCTTTAACGTTCGCCAACGTCCATACCATGTTGAATACACCGGTTCTCGTCCGATCACCGAAGTTAAGCAACATCGGGCGTGGTTAGTACTTGGATGGGTGACCGCCTGGGAATACCACGTGATGTTGGCTTTTTGCTCTTTATTTTCGTGTCAACTTCGTTCCTATCGGATGTCCCACGACACCACACGGCTTTTGTTTTTTTTTTTAACGTAGCTTTCCTAGCAGACACTTGACTTTTGGTCTTTGTATAATATTACAGTCAAAACTTTTGACCAGTTAAAAGTATTATTAACCGACATCGGACAATAGTACCTACTTTTTAATTTTGCCTGGTTAAAAATACTTTGAGTCCGTGTGGTGACGGATTAAGAATACAGTGTCACTAGCCCTATTCATCCTGTGGGTGTCGTAAGAGCCGACTAAGGGAGTGAACTACGCAGGACAATAGCACTGTAAAGAGAAGAAAAACTTGAAACAAACCCTATACTAACCCGTCTAGCCAGCGTGGTATAGTAGGCCAAAACCTTCTTTCTAAGGAGAGGCCTATGTCCAGCAGTGGACTGTTAAAGGCTGTTGATGATGATGACATAATAATAATTCTAATAGTACATAACATTTTAAGACCTCAGCTGATCTCATTGTTAATCATGTAATATTAGTCATTTTAAAATCTAAGTTTATCTAACGCATGCCCTACGCTGATCTCATTGTTAATGAACTGCATTTGTACTCGCACAATGAAGTCGTCATTGTCTATTAAATTCTTAATTATTTTTACAGGTATCTTCAAATCATGAATGTCTGACAAAACGTTCAGTAAACGTTGAATTATGTTTATCCTTATGTGTTTATTTAATCTAAAATGAAAATTTTCTTTCCTCCGAATGAGGCTCGGCTGACTTTTATTTTATTTAATAATTAATAATAATAATAAAATTTATTTCATAGTAAAGTTTTACAGTTTCATTACATAGGTCATCATAATAGTTAGGTATATGACTTAGGCTATAATTAATTGGAGTGATTGCTGTTCTCCTAGATAGGCAACTAAGTTGCCTGTGTTTAGGTTCATTAAATAAATATCTTTATCTATCTTGATTTCTGTTAGTTACTCGGTGGTGTCATTATATAAAAGAATAATAACTTTGACAATACCGGTGGTGTCATGGGGATTGAATAATAATACCCTTGACACTAGTGGTGGTGTCATGGGGATTAAAAAATACCCTTGACACTACCGGTGGTGTCATTGGGTGGTATCACGGGTCCGTAACGGAAAAAATAACTTTCCAAAAAAGAGCTAACACTGTTTTCTAATAACTGTACGTGCCGTCAAACGGTGAGATAGCTCTCAAACCGCATTGTTTACGACAAATTAGGCTTTTAAGATTAATATGTTTGTGACTTGTTCATTTGATAATGTATAATTATTAACAAACATATTGTTTTTTGTGTGTATCTATATATAAATACGTGATTTCTATATTTATTTAGGTATCATCATTAGGCAAATTTACAACAAATAACTTAATTAATAGTTTAGTTATAATTTATAAGGTGACTGGTCCAATCTCCAAAAAAAAAGCTAAATATAAATATACAAGGTAAGTCGACCTTAATACTTTAAAGGGTTATAGTTGCCATCATTTCTGATAGCTTTCACTATGAAATACCATATCCCAAAAATAACCATTTTCAAGATACTTTTAAGATTTTTTATAAAAGTCGCCGAAATTTTGCCTAATACAATTTTTTTGAACTTATATCTTTTATTTTATGTTTTTTTACTGTTTTTGTGTAGTTAATAAATTGTTTTATAATTTTAAAGCCTTTACGTATTCTCCACAATCAACAATGTAAAATAGCCTAGGATACTACCACAATAAAGAGCGTGTTAAGAATTAGCGTATTCGTATAATGTAGAATTAGCGAATTATAATATTTGTCAAAGAATATTTTATAAGAAAAAAAATTATATTATTAACCATCTACTTCGGCTCAGTTTCTTAAGTTAACTACAATTTTAGTAGTTGAAGTTATAAAACAATTTATTAACTACACAAAAACAATAAAAAAAAAGTATAATATAAAAATAATGTTCTAAAAAATTGTATTAGGCAAAATTTCGGCGATTTTATAAACAATCTTAAAAGTCCAAGATCTTGAAAATGGTTATTTTTGGGATATGGTATTTCATAGTTGAAATCTATCAGAAATGATGGCAACTACAATCCCTTAAAGTATTTAGGTCGACTTACCCCTTTTTTTTCCGTCCGGAAATCCCCTCGGATACCACCTATCGGTGGCATGTCGGACTCGAACCGACTAAAACCGCACGCCGCCTCGGGTACTAATAGGTATACCCTAGAAAGGAAGTCCCTGGTGCCCCGACATACAGGTCGACTTACCCCTGCTTATACATTATACAATGTATAATCTCTTTACTTATGTAATTACCGACGAGTCTGATGATTTGTTTTTCAGATTCTAGATAAAAAATCAACAGTAAAATATATTTTTTATACACTGAAGAACTCAGATAATTAGATGAAATATTATCTCAAACCAAGAGATCGGATTACTTGTAGTGCTGTGCAAGTAGAGTAGATAAGTTAACATGACGATTACATTCATGATTTATCAGAAAAATAGGTTTATCTTTAAAGATATAGTATCTAGTACGGATGAGAATGCGAACTGTTGATCGCGATGGGTACTGTCAACAAAGATTTAACTTCAAAAAATCCAAAATACTCCATAATCTAATATTAACAGTACACAGACCATCACCACGCCGCTCCCTACTACGCTGAGCGTTGTGCGTTCGATACCCACATGGGACGACACCTTCTGTGATGCACAAATTGTCGGACTGAGTCTAGATGCTCTTTGTGTCTGTTTCATGTAAGATTGTCTATTTGTGATTGTTAGACGTATGTTAGTGATTTTGAAAAAACTTCAAAACGTCGAATTAAATTGAAACTTTGCACACTTATCAAGGACCCATGACAATGCAATAATTTAAAGAGTTTTTCCATAATCCAGATCAGGGCTTTCAGCATTAACTGATTTTTCTATACCTGTTTCGTCTTTTGTCACGTACTTAGGCGTTTGGTAAGGCATATGTGACAAATGATATTTATTTCTGTAAGTAAATCTTTTCAGATATTTTTACAAGTCGGACTTTACAGCTAGAAGGAGTCGTCACTTCCTAAGACTCACTCTGTTAAGATCGCCGAAACAAAGTTAAAGAAAACCACTGTTTTGAGTCGACCTGTCCATTCAGACGTCAAACGCTTATTTTATTTTAAATAAGCGTTTTTATAATAATTTTACTTTTATCAATATCTGTCAGTGAAATATTTTGACCGCGTTTAAAAACACGCTTGAAAGGATTTGGAAAATTCCTTTTTTTGGAAGAGTGTACTGCCCGTTTCCTCCCAATTTAATTTAAAAATGTCTATGGGCCCCCGGTTCTACCCGGAACTAAGTTCCTTTCGCTTTGTGATTTTATACTCGTATTTTATACATACTATATCATATTTTCATTATGAATTTTATTCAGAATAGGTAAGTTAAAGTTACTAGGCAAGGTAAAGTTTTTGATTTAATTAGTTAGAAAAAGTCGCCCATTTTTTTATAATATAAATAATTCAGTTTATTTTTCGCTTTTAAGTGTTTATTTATTTATTGGACAGCCAGTAGTTGTTGCATTATTTATTAAAATCTAAAGCATCATATTGAGATTAATGCACAACATTTTAAGACGTTACAACGTCACATCATGCATAACAAAGTAACACTATATAAAACTAAAAATAGAAAAACATCAATGTGAGTTTAACACTAAATTGAACAAATATAAAACAAAAAAACTACTATAAATAGGCTTATTACTATTTTATAATTTTAACTTTAACTACCTAAGAGACCACTTGAATTATTTGCTAAGCCTAACTAACCTCATAGCAACATTTAACAACTGTTTTGAATTTGGAAGTGCATCGGCGAATATGTCTACCTCCCCACAAATGGCATTGTATGATTTTGACAAACGAAATATCGTTGAGAATTGTTTTACATTGGTGGCTGATAAAACAACCCTGCGTTAGCGAGGGCTTGTCTAGGCACACAACATGGTACCCTCAGGCCAAACGCTCTCAAAAGCAGTGGACGGTCGAACTTACACCTAATTACTTTATAAAGGAATGTCATATCATGCTCTTGTCGACGAATTGACACATTATTTCTACACACCACATTGACACATAATCCATACGAAAGTGTCGAAATTTATCGCTGTATGAAGAAGGTTGTTTTTGTAGCCCACTAGAAAAAGTAAGGTGTCTGACGAATTGCTTATGAATACGTTCTATTCTAAGTTGATGCGCAGTGTATTGGGTTTTTGTGGGGCGTTTTTGTTTGATGTTTTTTTTAAATCGGTTCAATTTTTTGTATAAAATTGTTCTTTTTTCCCATTTTTAGTTTAAATAATCATAGGTACGTAGTAGCTTGAACTACTTTATATAAATCGTGAGATGTAGCAACCTACGGAAAACGAACACCTTCAAATGTTATTCCTGCTTATGCGAATAACTGTGGTGGTTTGGTGCACGTATTGAAAGTGGGCATAGGCTACAGAGTTACGTTGAAACGCAACGTTTCTGTTACCAAAGGGCCTGGTCCAAGTATCTTATCCAAATTTAAATGGCCTGCCCTTCGCCGTGATCGCCCTATCCGGTCAGAGCATGTAACACGCGATAAGAAACTAGTTCCAAAAATTATAATCCTAAAAGTAGCAAATTAAGGAATGTAGAATACGATGTGTAACAATTCATTTTGGCAAACGTATCGAAGTCGGTGATACTTTTTTTAAAGTTGTTTGACACGTTTTTTTGTTGACTGTACAACGGCTGTAAGACTTATAGTGTGATTGATGATCAGAGAAGATTACTCACTGTTATTGACCATCAATAGGGAATCAAAATATCAAAGAATAGTTTCCATCTATCGGATATGTCACAAAACTCCTGATTTTATTTATTCCTTCCTAGAAGAACAAGTTATCACATCGTCGACCAATCATGTAATATTTCATTACATTTTCCTCCTTACAGGAAATACAGCTAACTGCAAGGAAACAATACCACAGGGTCACCTCCTCCTCCTCCTCCTCCACCTCTGTAGATATTTAAGAAAGACATTGTGCCTTCCTTATACGTTTTAATAATAACATTGGACATGTGCTTATTGATTTGCTGAAGACTGTAGAATGTGAAAACGTGAGTTAAAACGTCAATCTAAACCCCAGATTAGGGAACAATGTGGATTACTGTTTCAAAAGAAATAAACAGGAATTTAAATAATAATTGTGTACATGCCCTCAGCGTGCAAGTAAAACTTCTTAGAATATAGGTCCACCTTACTTTAGAGACCACCTACGAAGGGAAGAGTTCTAATCTATTTGTCTGACAATAAAATAAGGCAGTTACTACTTCTTCTTAACCTCAAGAATATTGGGTATCTGATTCCATTCCAAACTTAACGGAGCGTAATTTTTTCCCCGTGGGTGCCAACAATCTAACTCCAAACGAGTCATTATCTCCCCATATCACTGGAATGTATGAGCCAGTGCGGATGGTTTTAGGCTCTATTCAAAATGCGAAATTTAATGTTCATCTGAGGGGCGTAAAGTTCCTTAACAGGATTCGACATTTTAACTTAACAAATAAGGCTATTAATATATTCGTTATACTCACTTCTCCTCATGAAGGGTATATGATCATCTTCAATAAAGCTTCCTGAACTCCTAAGCCTGAAGTAAGTTTGCTCGCTTTTTCCCTTGGAGTATCCTTCAAACTGGTTCAGCTCTGAAAGCCTCTGTTCCGCGACCGCTAGCCGCAAGTACCACTTTTCAGTGGACTGGAAGTAACTGAAGAATACCGGGTCTGGAGCACCCAGCAGGTCCAGGAGCATCATCACATCCTAAAAAGAAACGGAAGTGTGAAATGGTAAATTAATCGACAATTGTTAGCGAGTTTTTCGGTTGAAGGCATAGAAAATGGAACAGAAATAGAGAATGATTTAGTTTTTCATTGCTTTCCAGACTAAACACTACTTGTGTTAAAATTAGAAGTTTATAAATCATGCTAAAACTAAGTAGTTTAGAATTTGGATGATCCGCGAGTGAGTGTCAGTGGCAAAATTAAGTAACCTTGACTAGAATTAAATTTGGCAAAATACCTATCCAACGTTCTAGATCTATTCACTAACGTGTATATGTGTATACGTGTGTGGTCCGTGTGGTGACGGATTAAGAATACAGAGTGTCACCACCCCTATTCATCCCGTGGGTGTCGTAAAAACCGACTAAGGGAAAAAAACTAAGCAGGCCAACAGCAACAGCACTGCAGAGAGAAGGAAAACTTGACACAAACCCTTTACCAACCCGTCTGGCCAGCGTGGTATAGTAGGCCAAAACCTCCTTTCTCAGGAGAGGCTTATGTCCAGCAGTAGACTATTAAAGGCTGTTGATGATGTGTATATGTGTATGTATAAGGCCGTGATCCCAAATCATAATAAATACCCGACCACCAGGCTCACGAACACACCGAGTAATGACACTCGGGAAGTCCCAGAAAAAGTTAAACTGTCTTGGAACCCGCAACGAATTTAATCAGAAGTAAATTGGAGGATTCAGAAATATAATAAATCCACTTACTTTCTTAGCAAAGCTGGAGACAAAAATGAAGTAAGTTATATTTGATGCCTATAAAATGTATGGTAGACACGCCGAATGCAAAGCTTGAATTAATGAAATTAAACGATTATTCAAAGGATATAAATTAATGTTTTTCCTTTGATCATACGTGCGTGCATATGAAAAAAAAACGCTACTCCCAATTACTTACATACGAAAAAAAATTGATTGAAGTTGTATACGTCTGATGAAAAAATAAATTCAAACCTACGCATCTCATTTCTTCTATGACATTAAATGTCTGACTTTTGGTATCTCGTGCCGCAGTGGAGAAATGATATCGATTTTAAAAATGATTTTATATATATCGAATGATACACTCAAAGAAAGAAGGGGTCTGACCCCATCCTGGGCTGAGCCTAGTTCGATTTCGAGTAAGTAATCAAATTGGAGCTTTTCGTGAGTCCTGACTACAGCGACTACACAAAAATGACCCCCTTGGAGTTAAAAACTGGATCCGCCCCTTTTTACACAAAAGTTGTTATCAAATTGAAGGACTGATATTGTAATGTACAGATGACAAACAGCAGACAGACGAACAAAATGACAGATATATATATTCTTCGAAAAATGCTTTTCAATAAATCATTGAAACTAAGAAAATTATTGTTTTGCTTCAAAGTTAACAATTTTTATGCAGTCATTGCCAGAAAAACCTGGGCATGAACATCCCAGCAGGCAGGTAGGCCAAAACCTCCTTTATAAGGAGAGGCCTATGTCCAGTAGTGGAGTATTAAAGGCTGTCGATGATGATGTGATGATGTGAACATCTTTGGCATCAAGTAGCTTCACACATATCAGTCCTCTTTCATATGGGCATTGGAGAACTTTTAAGTATAATTTTAAAATAATATTTGTGGATACATATTAAGAAAAAAAGGTTCTATGGTCTACTACACACCTGTAAAATATGATCCCACCTGCCTATAACATTCTGTATAAAATGTGTGCTACGAGAGCAAAGCGGAATGTAATTTAAAAATTGATTTTGCGTTATCTAACCTTTCTAAAACCATTAGGAATACTTTTTAAAATATCTTTATTTTGTTTAAGTATCATAATTATTTAAACTAAAATAAGAGCTAAAAAACCTAAATTCAAATAGACATAAGATTATTTCAGATCACCACCGAACTTCCTGTTGGCACTTCACATGCCATGTTTTGGAAAATATATATTTTACTAACTATTAAACTATCTCGATCCATAAATATATGGTTACTAACTTTTGCCCGCGGCCCCGCCCGCGTATATGTCGGTCATCGCGGTAAAAAGTAGAGCATGTTACTCGTTGAAAATGTAGCTTTAAATTGGTGAAAGAATTTTTAAAATCGGTCTAGTGATTCAGGCGTGAAGGCGTAACAAGCAAACAAACTCACTTTCCCATTTATTATATAAGTATGGAAATGATGAATGTCATATAGTTTTTGAATTATTTAGTATTAATTAGTAATAATTATTTGAATTTTTATTAATTAGTATTTGAATTTCATTTGAAAGATTAGGTAATAGAATAAATAAAAGCTATATAATGATTCTACTTTCAGCGGTGGGATAAGCTTATTTATAATTTATTCTTACGTACACAATAGAAACATTTATAAAAAAATACATTAAGGAATAGTGGGCACAGAGGCGAGCTTAACCCATAATTGAGTTCTCTTCCAGCAAACCTAAGATTAAAGAGAGGATAGCACAACAAGAGAGAGTCGTGTATACAGAGTAAATTTAAGAAAATATACAGAAATAGAAATTACACGAAATAATAATCGAATGTCATGTAAGTAAACTATAATATAACACAAGTTTATACATCACATTAATTACCTACCTTCTTAAAAGCTTCTACAGGTTTACCAGTATAACCGGTAGTTGCCGGTATAGAATGCCGCCTTCAAAGTTATCGTATATGTAATTATGTGTAACGTGGCCTGTATGCAGAATTATAATAGAAGATAGCGATTTTTTTTAAAACAGCTACGATCGCAATAGATTTTTACTAAAATTGTATATTCATTGCTTTATCTGAAGTCACAGAATAACTTATAGTTCATTGTTTTGAGTAACTAATAGATAGAAGAAAAAAGATTAGCGTATCAGATGTTAGCTGGTAACTCTCTTCAGAGGGCTTAGTGTGAGTTTATTTCACATCTACTCTGTCGTCACGGTCACAGCGTTGCGATTAGCCCGCACCGAACTCTTCACCAACCGCATCGCCGAACGCGTTCGCGTTCGTTCTAAACTTGGTTGACCTCAAAGGAAAGACTTTCTCGTTGGTATGGTCATAAGCCAGAGGTCGTCGGTGAATACGAGAGAAAAATTAATTACGTGATGAGCACAATCATTTCTTGTATGTCTGATTGTAAGTTGTGTATAATAGGTATGTTTATAGAAATTTATAAGTAGGCAGTATGTTATGGCATGGCAGTTGTGTATAAGGAGGCAGGTTACCATAGTACGACATAGATGGCGTTGTATGTCAGATGTCTGAAACATTTTATTTTATTTATTTATTTATTTATTTCCTTTAAAAACAACTATTATTACAGGTTTAGCCCAATGCAATAGTGTTATACCATCTACTTATTTATTATAAGAAATAATTCTTAATGCTGTTATTGTGAATTCACTCAGTGAGCAATAAAATAAATCTATTTCATCCGCAATTATATTCAGAGTACGTAGTGCGCGCGTCAGCGGTGCTTCTCTTATGTTATGTAACTTTTAAAAAAACTAAAAGGTGTAAAAATGTTTGGTTAAATTATAGGAAAATGAATCTAATTCTTAACTAGCTGACCAGCGCAACTACGTCTCCGGCTCTCAAAGGGAATAAATTTTCTTTGTTTTTGCAACATTTTTTTTCCCTGATGCACGGCTCCTAGTGGTCGTAGCGTGCTGTTATATAGCCTAAAACCTTTCTCGGTTAATGGGCTGTCTAACAGTAAAATAATTTCTCAATCCGAACCAGTAGTTCCTGAGATAATCGCGTTCTCACAAACAAAGAAACTCTTCAGCTTAATAATATTAGTATAGATATAAAAAAAACAGCAAAAATAACCTACAAATCTATAGGAATTAATACACTTTTCTAATATTAGGTTTCGAATGGAGTTAATTGCTCTGCTAAACAACCGAGAAGGAAAATTTATCAGAAAATAATCTTATCTCAGCTCTCACGCTGGAAAATACAGGCGCGGTGTCGAATGGGGTGAAGCGTATAATTATCGGAAATTCCCCATTTGTCAGTACTTAATTACTTTCCTTTTTAACTAGAATGAGGGAGCTAACGCGCGCAAAGTGAAGCGTGTTGAATAGTAATTACAATCTTGTTGGAATTTTCAACTTATCTCTAAGTCGAAACTTTTTTTAGAGAGATCGATTTTTTCAAAAATTGCAAGTTTCTGTCACACTCAAGTTATCTATACATTTAAAACTAGCTTTGCCTGCGGCTCTGCCTGCATGTATCGGTAATCGCGGTAAAAAGTAGCCGATGTTACTCTCTGATACAGATAATGTAGCTTTCCATTGGTGAAATTATTTTTAGAATTGGGTTTGTGGTTTATGCGTAAAAGCTTACAAATAAACAAACTAGAAAACTCACTTTCATTTGCCCCAACTGACCGACCGGACTGAACCAGGTTGTTTATATTTGACATCTAATTCCTATAACTATATAGTTGGCAAAATGTCCGCGTGAATACACCTCTGCCTCTATATCCCTAGTTACGAGTATATTATAAATGTAAAAAATGAGTTTGTTTTATTGTTTGTTTTGTTTGTTACGCTTTCACGCATAAACGACAAAACCAATGGAAAGCTACATTATCAGTAACATAGGCTACTGTTTACCGCTATAACCAACATACACTCGGGTGGAGCCGCGGGTAAGAGCTACTGTATCTATAAACTTTCTTTTACAAATATTTTTATCTTTTTATCCTTTGTTTTGAAATGAGACGTTACTTCATCGCAATATGATTCAATTTATTTAAACCCAACACTTTTTGTTTATGAATTGTATATCAATTAATATGATAAGGAATATACCTAACTACGTTATAATAACCTCTGATAATTGTCTACTGAAGCAAGTTCTAGAGGCAACCGTTAGAAAACGCATATGATGTATATTATATGAGTATTATTTAAACTTATATAATATGAGTTTTGCATAAAGCGCTTTAGAGACATTTTTTTTGTAACAACCTCTCGTTTTCCTGCCATC